GTCTTCAAATAATAGCACAATATTTCTGGTAGAAGGATGAGAGATCACCAGAAGCATAAAGGAGCTAGAGGTTTAGCTCAGTAGTAAAGCATGTGCTTAACATATGCAAAGTGCTGGACTTGAACCTTATAGCCCCCAACAAAAACAGACCCTCTGTAAGGGTACAAATAGAAGGTATATGCTTAGGGGAGAGACTGCCCTGCCAATTCAACCCCCATCAGCAAAACCAGATATTGCAATAGGAACGTGAAATAATCACTAGGGTCAATCATAGCAACAGCAAGCCTTGAGCCAGACTCCTAACTAGATAATCTCTGCAATGAAGGTCTAAGCAACAGAAAAGGCCTGCTCACTTTCAGTCATAAATATCCACAAAGCATCTAATCTTCTGTTTAACATGGATTGCTTTTAACAAAATACACTGAGGCATGTGAAAAGGCAAGGAAAAATTGCACTTGGAAGAGATGAAGCAATCATTAGAAACCAGACAAATATAACAGGCATTTTGGAACTGAGGGTTTTTTTGTTTTTGTTTTTAAGGCCAGTGCTAGGAAGCAAACCCAGGGCCTTGCACATGCTAGGCAATGCTCCAGTTCTGAGCTATACCCCTAGCTCGAGCAAGAATTTTAATTAAATTTGATTAATGTTAAGGACAGCAGTGGCCAACATGTAAGATTATGTGTGTGATGTCAGCAAAGAGATGGAAATTATAATTAAATAGAAATGTTAAAAACAAAAACTCCACCATAACTGTAATTGGCTCATCAGTAAATTCTGTGGTGATGAGAAGAGAACTAGTAAACCTGAAGTAAGTCAACAAAAAGTACCCTCACTGACATACAACACATTAAGAGTGAAGGAAACACCAGAACAAAATAAACCCAGAACAGAACAAGTACACAGGAGCTGTACAAACATCAGTGTGACATACGCATAATTAATGACACACATGAAACCACAGATCCAAGAAGCTTAGATAAATACTAAAATCCCCACAACTGCAGGGTACACACCTGTAATCCCAGGGATCAGGAGGCTGAGACAAGAGGACTTCGAGTTCAAAGCCAGCCTCAGCAAAAGCGAGGCGCTAAGCAACTCAGTGAGACCCTGTCTCCAAATAAAATACAAATTAGGGCTGGGGATGCGGCTCAGTGGTTGAGTGCCCCTGAGTTCAATTCGTGGTACTACCCACCACCCCCTAAAAAAAAAACCCACATCTAAGAAAAAGAAAGCCCTTTCAGATGATCACACTGGTAAATTTTACCAATTAAAGAATAAAATCTCGGGCTGGGGTTATAGCTCAGTGGTACAGCACTTGCCTAGCACATGTGAGGCACTGAGTTCAATCCTCAGCACCACATAAAAATAAATACAATAAAGTTATTGTGTCCATCTATAACTTAAAAATATTTAAGAAGAATAATAATATACACAACCAATTCTACATGTTTTTTTTTTCCAGGAAAAAGGAGATTCATTTTATGTGTTCAGCATTACTCTATGGTTGTAAAATCAGATGAAGAGCAATAAAACTATGGACCAATATCCTTCATAAATATAGATGCAAAAATCCTCAGCAAGATATTAGCAATATAAACAAATGCCACTCGGCACCCATTAGAATGGCTAAAATAGCCAGGTATGGCAGCACTTGCCTGTAATCCTAGCTACTCAAGAGGCTGAGGCAGGAGGATCGCCAAGTTTCAGGACTGCCTGGGCAATGTAGTGAGACCCTGTCACAAAATAAAAATGGCTGGGGATGTAGTTTGCTGGCCTATCATGCACTAGGCCCTTGGTTCAATCTCCAGTACCAGGAAAAGGGAAAAAAAAAGAAAAGGAAAAAAGGAATTCCTAAAATAACAAAAATTCCAAGTGTTTGGGTGTGGGGAATACAATTGGAACTCTAATTAGTGTCTGGTGGTAATGTAAAATGGTAGTTCTACTTAAAAGTATATCAGCTTCTTATAAAATTAAATATACATGACTTAATACAATGAATTCTGACACCAACTACCTGCAGTTAAGCCAATCAAACTTCACAGATTTAGGGCAAAGTCTTCTGTTAAGACTGCCCTCACTTCAGACACCAGCTTCAAGTTCAGGGGTCCCAGGACACCCTCACTTTGGAACAAGTGGCTACAACAAGTTTAGGGGTTCCCACCATTCCACTGAGTTTAATTAATTCATTAGAACAATGCACAGAACTCAGGAAAGCACTTTACTTATTATTATTTTATTATGACATAAGAAAACAACTATGAACCAGCCAACACATACCACATAGGCTGAGGTTTGTGAGGTCCAAAATGTGAATGTTCTTTGTCCTCCATACAAGTTACCCTATAAGTACATTGATATTTATTATATAATGATGATAATAATAATAATGCATAGTGCTGTCATCCACAGAACCTCCCCCAAGCTTCAGTATTCAGTGTTTGATTGGGATTTCATTACCTAGGCATACTGAATGACTGACAAGGAGGTTGAATTCAGCTGAGCTGATACCACATAGCCTAGAGCCTTAATAACATGGCTGGTGTTTTTGATGTGGCCAACCACCATCCTAAGTCATCTCATTACCATAAACTGGCAGAACCCACCATAAATAATTCCTATCACTTAGAAAATTTCAAAGATTTAGAGGTCACTTTCTGGGACCTGGGATAGAGGCTAGCTGATTCTATATTACAAACTGGCAATCCCACCAGTAGGCATATAAAATTATAGAGAATACTTAAACTTACATAAAAATACACATGCAAATCTGTATAAGGTTCACAAACAGCCAAACTGCAAATAACCTAAATGTCTTTCAGTGGGCAAATTCCATTATATAATAGACTACTACTGGGCAATAAAAAAGGAAAGAAATACTGATTCACACAAGATGGATTAAAAAATTCATTTTACCAAGTAAAAGGCTACATGTTGCATGATTTCATTTATATGGCAAAGGGAAAATTAAAGACAGAGAACAAATCAGTGATAACAAGGAGTTTGGGAAGGAGATGTATATGTACAAAGGGCTATCACAAATGAATTTTTAGGGTGGACGGAAAATGTTCTGTGTAGCACTGGTGGTGGATACATGACATTTGTCAAAACCCACAGAGCTATATACCAAAAAGATTGAATTTTAAAATATGTAAATTTAAAAAAAAATCAACCAGGATGTGTGTGGGATGAAAGAAAGCAGACTATAATGATGAATCTAACTGTATCACAAATGAACCAGAATCACAGCGAAGAGGAAAGAAAGGAACCAATGTAGTTTTGAATCTAAGGACCTAAAAAACTATGCAAGAGTATTGTGACATGATCTTGAGAGACTAAAAGAACTATACACTAGCCAGGTGCAGTGGCACATAAATTACAGTTCCAGCTACTTGGGAGACTGAGAAGAATTGTTTGAGCCCAGATCGAGCTGAGCCTGAAATTCCCATTCCAAATAAAACACAAAAGCAAGCACCAAACTCTAGATGGTAATTCCCCTCCCAAGGGGATATGTTAAAAAAACTAATTGACTTGTGCATTAGGGTTAAAAAATTAAGTTAACCTACTATAGCTAATGAGAGCCAGGCTTCTCACTGTTCTCACTGTTACCTCCTGTAAGAGGGAGGTCTAGAATGAGCCCTGTGGAGCTGGACTGGTGGTGTTTCCCTTAAAACAAAATCCCCCAAAGATTTATACACATAGATCCAGTAATACATATAAATGTGTGAATCTGCATGACTCAGCACACACACACACACACACACACACACACACACACACACTTCCTATTCTATCCACTGAGAGGGACTAGAAGCAGTGAAGCCCTAGTATCAATAAGCACATTAGCATCCACATCTTCCGTTTCTAAATATCATTCTCTAAGAAAAGGAGCCAGGGTTCCTCAAGTAGTAAGGAAAAAAAAAAAAAACAACAGACCAAAGGGGACATATCACAAGGACATTAAAAACCTAAGAGAGTTTCCAGTGACCAAAACTGTAACAAGCTGAGCTATGGAAATAATCATAGTTTTGGATCCTAATTCAAAGATCAAAACAAAGGATCGAACAGAGGATCAAACAGAGTATCGAACCCAAGGGCCTTTCACGCACTAGGCAAATACTCTACCACTGGAACTATATCCCCAGCCCAGCTGGATCACTGTTCTACAGTTATACAAAGGCATTAACAAAAGCAAAAGCTGGACTAAAAGGTACATCTCAAAATAAACTTTAAAAATAGGACAATCTTTAGGTTTTTAGTTACTAGTTATCAAAATGTCAGGCTTGATTTAAGTGTGATGAATTGGAAAAAGCACTAGAGCAACAGTTCATCCCATTCTTGTGTTGAACCTTAAGAGCATCATACGACCTCCTGGAACCTCAGGTTCTTCTGCCAAAGGGGGACAAGACACAACTCATCCATCTCAAAGGTTACTGAAGGATTCAATGACCCAGGTGGTCAAAGTTGTCCAGAAATGATATATACATGCACAATATAAGCATTACTCTTACCTCTTTAGGCCTAAGAGAAAACCCTTATTCAGCAGAGGTTTTCTAGGAATTAAGATAAAAACACTAAATACTGAAGCAAGGTAACAGTGGAAAGAAATGCCCTTCAGCAAAAGCTGTTAAGTTAAAAAAAAAAAAGTGAAGACCATTAGGATACACTATGTGGTGCAGAAGCTGGGCAAAGGATCTCGAGTTCAAAGCCAGCCTGAGTAGCTTAGCAAGGCCCTAAGCAATAACACCCTGTCTCTAAATAAAATATAAAAAAGGGCTGGGAATGTGGCTTAGCCCCAGTACGGGGGCAGGGGGCGGGGGCAGTGGTGCAGGAAGGTAGGACAATCAGAGCAGAGCGAGGGATTCTTCTCCTGTCCCTCTGCCCATTCTCACTGCTACCTAGTATCTAGCATGGCCAACACAGGCATGCTGCATCTATGAATAGGGAAACAGTGTTCCTGGCATCATTAAAGAACTGGGAACAAAGTTGGGTATTGCACACACCTGTAGTTCCAGCTACTTGGAAGGCCGAGAAAGGAGGATTGTTGGAGCCCAGGAGTTCAAGGCCAACCTGGCAAACAACAGAGACACCTTGTCTAAAAAAGAAAGAACTGGAAACAGAGTTGGTATGTAAAGTGGCTAGGAACGAGAAGAATTATATCTTCCAAAGACTCCCCTACTAAAAGCTAACTAATCTGAATTAAAAGCTATCTATGAAAAAAGCTTTTGGTCTTCCAGGTTTATTACAATTATGGAACAACTAAGTGAGAAGCTGCCCATCACCCCTGTTCAAAAAATGATCTTGTCTACATTACTAAACAGCTACAAGCAAGAGCAATAGAAAAACGGGTATCTGGTCCCACTTTTAATAAACTGCAGAGCCGCATTTTCTCAAGTTAATTTTATTAACAAAAAGTGCAAACTATTCTGAAAAGAAGTAAACTATAAGTAATAGCATTCATCAAGATATTAGATATGGAAAAATGAATAATATTAAGTAAAACAAGCTGACGACATGTCTTTCACATGTACATATAGTTATTCATGCTTTTTCAACAGTCTTGATCAATTCAGTGTAATTTCCATGAACATATAGCAGCTCAAACACAAATTCAGAAGCACGGTGGCAAAGTTTGGCAATTATTTTGGGGGTAATTATGAGTATGTAAGACAATCTGATATCAACTTCACTCTGATGTAACCTACTATGCAGTATGTATATTTATATTTATTGACTCTGAAGCAATATTCAATGAAAATAGAGTTTTAAAATATTTGTTGCACTATATTTTATGAGGCAGAAAAAATGAAATAGTTTTCAATGATCTTTCACATGACCAGGAACATAACCAATCCATATTAACTAAGTTCATTTTAAATACATATGCAAAGTCACACAACAGAAAGATGTGCCGTTAAACAGGTACCAATACTTAAACAAGAAAGAAAAGATAAACAAACTTTAGTCTGTCAACATACTCCAAAGAGGAGATCCAGTCTAGTGTTACTTCAGTCATTCACAAAAAGTGTCTATAGGACAGAATCTATTTATAGGTAATTTTTCTATTCACTAATCTATAGGTCCTAATGAAACAAACTGTGATTAAAACCTGAAATATAAAGGTAGTCATTTAAACACAACAGGTGTTTAGCCAAAGACAGAGCACCAAGGATGAACAGGTTACTGAGTGCATGCACTGCCTCTAGTACATTTTCTGGCAGTTAACTGGTCTTCTACCTTTTGTGGATGTACTAATTTTCTAAATTAATTGAGGACAACACTGTTATTACATTAGGAAGAACTCTGCTCACACTATTAATTTTTTCCCGTGTTCTACAGTCTTTACTAGAATTGTGCTACTTTCTAACAGCTCCTGAATTATTCTTTCAGGTAGAGATGATGGAAAAAAAAAAGACCTAAATCTGACTATCTGGTTGATGACAAATTTGAGCACCAACTACAAGAAGATTCAGGGTCAAGGTAGCTTATAAGTCAATTCTCTTGATCTGGCAATTACCTTCCACTGTTTTCATCAGTACTGAAGTGAAGATTTTCAGGGTCTGCTTGTTCACCATCAGGAAAACTGGAGTGTGTATCTAAGAAAAATTAAAAGAAAATATTTTAAATTAAAAACAGATAACAACAAAGTGTATTTTCTTTCCTAACTCTTTAAATGATCTTACCAAATGTGTTAGTGAAGAAAGAGGTGCTCAGCTGTAAACAAATCTCTGTCTTCAGAGAATATGTGATTTGAGTCAGATTCAAGCAAATGCAAAGGAAAAACAAAGGAGAAAACCCAAAATGTGTAATAGACACCCACAGTGAGAAGATGAAAGGCACTGCCTCACTTTGTCCTCCCGGACTGGTGGGAACAGTTGAAGAAAGAAACAAGAAACAATGATGAAGTATACTTTCCAGACTCAAGGTGCTATAAACAATATGTATTTCAAAGCCAACTAAAGTACACATGCAAACATTACTGAGAATCCCACCAGGACTCAAAATAATTTGCCCAAAATCTGAGTGCTTGTCTTAGAAGCAGAAGAAATTGCCTTAAAACTTACAAATCATTCAATACATGGCTCTACATTGAAAAAAGATACTAGAACACTAGGGAAATATGTAAGACACAAAGTTAACAATACACATAAGCCTGACAATGTTGTCATTTCAGGAAATCTTACACAGCAATGCTCAGGTTGATTATTAAGGTTTCTGGATGACTTTAAACCAGTATTTCTATAATTTTCTAATACACATTCCATTATTTTACCTGTACTTCTATATGATAGAATATGAGGTTGCCATAAAATTGAAGTTTATAAAATACAAATATACATATTTACGCAAGTTTCTCTTGGTGTTTCTCCCCTAAAGATATGTTTTTGTGGGGAGAGAAAGGAATAAAACATGAATGATTCTAGGTACATTTATGACTGCACATATGGTGCAACACTACATGGTGTACAATCAGAGAAATGAAAAGTTGTGCTGCAGTGTGTACAATGAATCAAAACACATTCTGTTGTCATATATACCTAATTAAAATAAATTAATTTCAAAAAAGATTTAAAAGAAAAACGAATGATTCCATAATTTGAATGCATTTCTAAGAAATCAAAGCTATTTAAAAAGTCATATAGTTGGCTTGAAAAAAAAAAAAAAAAAGAAAATCGGGGGAGGGGATCAAACATCTAAAACTTCCCCAGAGGTTGGAAAACAAGGTGGCAAATAGTAAATATTTATGTACTACAAGCCACAAATGGTCTCTGTTGAAAATTCTTCTTTGTTTCATTGTTTTTACACCTCTGTATAATTTAAGGCCATTCTTAGGTAAATAAGCTATACAAAAGCAGGCTGTGGTCTCTCTCCTCCATCAAAGAAGTGACACTCATCAGGTATCTATCTAATCAAGCCAAACATTACCCTCCAATTTTTTCTAATACTCACCATATAGTTTACCAAAAAATGTAAAAATGAAAAAAACAAAAAAAGACAAAAAGAAAAGAAGCAGAGTAAGTAGAAGCAATAGCAGCAGAAGAAAAAACATCATCAGCAATGGTTTTACTAATCTGTGTAAGATGACATTATATATTGCACCTTCATCTGGGGGCTGTGCCATGAAAGAGTCGTTAAATCCGCCCATGCTGCTGTGCTCTTCCTGCTCTTCATTCTCAGTGTCACATTCAATGTCACTGTCGCTACTAATTCCTGGCAGGAAAGGAGACAACATATTTCTGAAAAAAAACCACTATGAGTAAAAGAGGAAAAGTTCCTTATCCATTAAGCTGAGATTCCTACTGAATTTTACAATAAATGCCAAAAATTGAAGAAACCACACCAGCAAAACCAAAAAAGTAACCACAGAAAGTTCAATTCTCTTTAAATTTTTTTACAGCAGTGCTGTTACTTTTGTTCTCTAAGTTTAAAATTGAGTACCACAGTCCTTGAAAGTTGTTATTCGGAACCAGTACTAATTATACTGAGAATACCTTTTCCAAATCACTTTTTTTCTAACACGTCATAAGAGAAAAAAGAGGAACTTTTAAAATCCTCATTCACTGTAAACAGAGTCTCTATACTAACAAACATAATAAAACACATGGCCTATAATCCCAGCAGTTCAAGAGGCTGAGGCTAGAGGATTGAAAATTCAAAGCCAATCTCGGCAACTCAGTGAGACCCTAAGCAAGTTAGTGAGACCCTGTTTCTAAAATATAAAAAGGGCTGGGGCTGTGGCTTAGTAGTTAGGTGCCCCTTGGTTCAATCGACAGTAGAAAAACAAAACAAAAAAACCACGATATAAACATACATAGTATATGTATATAGAAATTTCCAGTAATTCTAGTCATAAGTTAGTTTCTATCCTATTTGGGCCTCTAGTTTTGTTTCTGTATGAATCAGTTGATTTAGTTTTTGGATATTTAATACATATATATTTTAATTGACATAGTAATTATATGTATTTATAAGGTACACTGATATTCCAATACATGTATACAATGTGTAATGATCAGATCTGTGTAGCAGGCATATCTACTACCATAGAAACATATCATTCTTTGTGTTGGGAACATTAAAAATATTCTTCATTAGCTACTTTAAAATATTAAGTAATTATTGTCAACCATATTTATTCTACTACTATAACACATTAGAAGTTATTCCTCCTGCCCAACTATACCCCATTACCCATTAACTATACTCTCTCCATCCTTCTGCCTTCTCTATATTCTTCTCAAGCTTTGGTTACCTCTATTTTATTCTCTACTTTGAGATCAACTTTTTACTTCCCACATATAAGTAAGATCATGTGGTATTTGTCTATGCCTAATTTATTTCACTTAATGTAAGGTCCTCTAGTTCCATCCATGTTGCTGCAAATGACAGGGAATTTCATTCTTTTCTATGGCTGATATTATACTATGTATACATGTCACTTTTTTTTATACATTCATTCATGAGCACCCAGGTTGAATTCATAATTAGCTATTGTGAAAAGTACTGTAATAAACATGCAAGAGCAGATTTTAATTTCTTTGGAAAATTACCCACAACCAGTTGATCTTCAAAAGAAAAATCCTATAGAAAGTTATTTATTTTAGCAAGATAGTGATCAGAAAACTTGAAAATTTTTCTGCTAAAAATTTTTATAAATACTTAGATAAAATACAGACAGAACATTATTTTAACAAATAGTCACATTTAAAAGACAAAAGGGGCCAGGCACAGTGGTGTACATCTATAATTTCAGTAACGTGGGAGGCTGAGGCTGGAGGATCCAACTTCAAAGCCAGACTCAGCAATTTAGAGAAGTCCTGTCTCAAAATAAAAATAAAGAGGGCTGGGCATAACTCAGTAGTAAAGTGCCATGGGTTCAATCGCCAGTAGCAAAAAATAAAACCCAAAACACAGGAGGTAAATTCACAGGCATGAGAAACAAGATAAGAATAATACTGGGTCAGATGTTACAGTTATCCTGGAGCGCCCAGTGCAAAAATTTTTAACATTCCTTTGCCAGGGAGGAGGGTGGGACCCAAAACTCTACTCACCATAGGAAGGGAGTTGCAATTGGGACTAAAATTCCAGCTTGGAATTTTTTTTCTTAAAGAGATAAAATTCTGGTTATGTTGCCCAGGTTGGCCTCAAATAATCCTCTTCCCTCAGATTCCCCAGTAGCTGGGCAGTAAAAGTAAAAAAAAAGATTAATGAACTTGCAGAGTTGAAGAAATTAATGAGAAACCAAAATTAATGAGCATACAGGCAGATGCTACTGCATCCAGCAGAAAACTAAAATTCTTATTCAAAAAACAGATAAGAAATAGTCTGTATAAGGTAGGCTCTACAAAGAGAGCAAAAGACTTAGAATTCAAACCCAATTTATGCTGGGGATTTTTAATTTTTATTTCATGGTGGTGCTAAGTTTTGAGCCCTGGTCCTTGCAATTGCTAAGCATGTACTCTAAAAACTTAGCCTCTAGCCACTAGATTTGGATTTAAATTTGAAGTAAAAAATCTTAAAAAATTAACATAAAATTATTCAGAAGCTAGTGTTATTTAAATACAGCAAAATCTTCCCTGGAGGTTAGGTTCTAGATAAGATGGAGTGGGTACATTCCAACTTGTCAATTTCACTCAATGCATCACTAAAATCTAGACAAAATGCATGGCATAGCTATTTAAGGACTCGGAAGTAAACAGGAATAGACATATTGGTGGAATCAAAATTTCACTAACAAACTGGAAGATTCAAACAAGCCCCGGAGTCCAGGACACAATCCAAAATTACTCAGCATATGAAAAATCAGTACAAGATAATAAGAGGGCTGGGTATATAAAGCTCTGGGTTCAATCCCCAGTATCAACAAAAAACAAAGATAATCAGCAAATACCAAGGCTGAGATGACACAGGTGTTGGAATTATCTAATGATGACTTTTAAGGGAAGATAAAAATGCTCAAGAACACCCTTGACACACATCAAACATTCTCTGAAGGTAAGCTTCCACAATACAGATCATAAGAATTCTGGGGGGTAGAGGTGGGGGTCTGAAAAAGAATGCTCCAAAGTTAAAAGTTTAAGGCTAACAATCTACCTGAAGAAGAATCAGGAGATATGGAAGGACAATGCTGTAAATTTTTCATTAAGTAGAACAAAAACCTGTAAGAGACTACATGATTCTAGTTAACTTTAAAGGGGCAGATTTTTAAAAGACCTGGGCTTGGTGGCACCTGCCGTAAATTCCAAGAACTCAGGAGGATTCTAAGATTAAGGCTAGCCTCAGCAACCAACTTAGTGAGCCCCTATTCTCAAAATAAAAAATAAAAAGGTTTCAGGATGTAACTCAATAATGGTTAAAGTGCCTCTGGGTTCAATCCCTAGTAACAAACAAACAAACAAATAAAATGAAATGTTTTGTAGAAATGAAAGATTAAAACTAAAATATTAATATATGGTTTAGGCAAAAGTAAAAAAAGATTAATGAACTTGCAGAATTGAAGAAATTAATGAGAAACCAAAAGAAAAATAAGTTTAAAGTATAGAAAAGACTTTAAAAAGGGATCAAAAGGAATGCTCCAAATTGTCTTGATCAGAATGATATAGAAAAAACAACAAAAGAGAAATAGACATGAAGAGAAAAACGGCAGAAAAAAACTTAAAGGATTCATGAAAAACATTCTGAATTAAATGAAAATAAAAATATCAAAATTAGTGCTAGGTACCTATCACAGTTCTTAAGGGGAATTCATAGGATTAAATGTTGCAGCACACACCTATAATCCCAGAGACAAGGGAGGCCTAGACAGGAGGATGACAAGTTCAAAGCCAACCTGGGCAACTTAACTAGACCCCTCAACAACTTACTGAGAACTTTCTTTAAAAAAATATTAAAGGACTGGGGACGTGGGGCTGGAGATGTGGCTCAAGTGGTAGCGCGCTCGCCTGGCATGCGTGTGGCCCGGGTTCGATCCTCGGCACCACATACAAACAAAGATGTTGTGCCCGCTGAAAACTAAAAAATAAAAGATTAAAATTCATTCTCTCTCTCTCTCTCTCTCTAAAAAAAAAGGACTGGGGATGTAGCTCAATGGTAAAGCACTTCTGGGTTCAATCCTTAAGATCAAAAGAAAGGAAAAAAGAAACAGTGTTAACTTAATGACTCAAGCTTCCAGCATAAGGAACTTTAAAAAAAGCCGATGATGTAGCTAGTAGTGACTTGCCTAGCATGCACAATCCCAGACACCACTTTAAAAAACCCAAACAAACAAACAAAAATCTAGAAAAAGAACAAATTAAATTCAAAGTAATTAAAAGAAAGAAAAAAAACAAACAATGAAACATGGTCATTCTTTGAAAAAAAATCAATAAAATTGAAAATACTAATAAAACTGAAAAGCCTCTAAGGCAAACTCATTAAGGGGGAAAGAAAAAAAAAAAAAAGCTACAGTTTTTTTCCTGGATATTAAAGGACAATAATGGAAACATAATCAACCATGCTTAGGAAATCAGGAATAGTGATAAAATAAACAAATCCTTTGATACACAAAAATATCAAAGCTCATTCAGAGAAAATAAATAAATCTTGAATAAATATTAAAGAAATAGTTTGTGATTTAAAGACTTCTAACAAAGAAGAAGCCCCACGTGACCTTACTGGTGAAATTTGTCCTCTTCTGTTTTGAAGACAAATTTGGGGAGTACTTCTCCCTTAAATACTGAGAAGACAAAGACTAGATCACTGAAATCCTCTCCATCTTCATCAAAGAAAAAACAAAAATCTTTGTGCTCTTAAGAATAAAAGGGCAGGGGGGCCAGGGTTGTGGCCCAGTGGTACAGTGCTTGCCTAACATGCATGAGGCACTGGATTCAATCAGGGCTGCCACTCTGAGGGGAGCTAAGTGAGACTGGCAAAGTGAGACTGGCAAAGCTGAAGATGGAAAAAACACCCTATGAATTCTTGATGACATTGAGCAGCTAACCCAAAACTGCCCCACCAGTTATGCATGACTCCTTGTTGGGAGAGTTCTTTCTGAATCAAGAGAGTTAGCTTTCATTATCATTTAAGTTGGCTGCTTTACTCTTTGGTAACTTTTGCTTAAAATATTATAATAAAGTATCCTAACAATTATCCTCCCAAGAGTCAAGCCATAGAACAGGAAAGAAACTAGCCTACTTATAAAAATTCTATAGATTACCAACTGGGGAGGGGGAGAATTTTCAGTATCAGAACATTAAATAGAAGATAACTAAAACAAGCTTGTCCCATATGGTCCCAGTTAGAAAGGAAAAGGCCTGTTTATGGCTGTCATTTCTAAGAAAAAGTGTTACATTTTACTGACACTTGAGAGACTATTTTAGTAGTCCGAAATTCCTAGCCAGTAACAAAAAATTGTCTTACTTTAAAGTTTCTTCAGATAGCTTTCTTTTCAAGAAAGTGAATAACCCACAGTGATATGGCACAGAACATTTTCTCTATGTACTTGGCACAAATAAAAAGCTTGTTTTTTTCCTAAATATGGATATAAGAAAATCCCACTCAACTGTCTACCAAGACTTTAGGTGTGAAAAATAAAGGTTTCCTGAGAACCGGCTGCTGCTGATGACAGAATAATATCCACAGCAGTGAGCAAGGCCCTACTCTCCTCTACAAACAAAGCAGATTTGTTCATGAAGCTATTTTTGTCTACTGTACTCCCCTCTTCCAGCCTCATCAGTTAGTTGTTTTCTTATTGTCTATCCTGGGGCTCTAGTGGTAAACAAGCTATTTAGATACCAATGAACTTCAAAGGTGTATAGTTCTGTATCACTTGTTTTCATTAAAAGTATTTTTATTGGTTCTATATCACTTTTGATTTGCATATTTACAGAGATCTTTCTAAGAACTCTTAATTGAGTTCTTAGAGCTTTTTATCACATTCCTTAAATGAAGATAAAACGTGTTATTGAGGAATGCTGAGCACTTAGCTCTAAATCCCATTTGAATAATCAGGTGCTTTAAAAAAAAAACTTGGAAAATGTACTGCAGATCATAAATTCAGCCATCCTAAACACAATCCTAAACGTGGCCTATATATACCTGTCTCTACTTTTGGATAAGCAGTAGATTCACTTTAAATATGAAATAAAGTGGATGCCAAGGGGAAGTGGTGCATGACTATAATCCTAGCAAGTCGGAAGGCTAAGGCAGAAGAATTGGAAGTTCAAGGCCAGCCTTAGCAATTTAGTGAGGCCCTGTCTCAAAATAAAGAACAAAAAGAATGACTGCGGAAGTAGTTCAGGGTAAAACGCTCATGGGTTCAATACCCAATTTAAAAAAAAAAAAAGAAAGAAAGAAAGAAAAAGAAATTGATGTCAAATACTTTGTATTTTCCATGCGAACTATCTATTTACACACACAAAAAAATTGCTAAGATAATGTTTATGAGTTGGAGGCTGAAATTAAAGAGGTTCAAGTAGTCTCTCGCCTAGATTATTTAACAAGCTTAAGTTTTCCTGTCCCTAATTCCACACACCCCTTTCCCAGCTACAAAATCCATTCTCCATACTGCAACCCGAGTAAAATTTCTAACCACAATTTTATTGCATCACCTCTTGCTTAAGAACCAAGGACAAAGGCTAGATTCTAGCTAAGGCAAAGAATATATAATTTATTCATGATCTCGCCTCTACTACTACTCTGTCCTCATTTTTGGTAGTCTTCACTTGGCTAATTTTCACTTATTCCTTTGGGTGAGCTTTCCAAGGGTACCTAGGGACTAGGTCAGTAGAGAGGTGAAAGTTATGAGCACTGACTCTAGGTTTAAATTTCACCTCTTTCAATGAATAATTCTCTGACTTTGGGCAATTTAAGTTGCACCTCTAGGCTTCACTTATTTACTTGTAAAATCAGGATAATAAAAGTAACTACTATGCAAAGCTATTCTGAGAACAGCATAGGATAATAATGGTAAAGTCATGAGCAGTCTTGGGAACATAGTAAGGACTTAATAAATGTTATCTTCTTTTATTATTATTATTGCAACGTACCTCTTCTTTGAGCTCCCTAAATACCCTTATCACAGCACTCATTATTCTGTATTATAAATGACTACTAGCTAGTCTCTCCAACACTTAACCAGTGGTTTTCATTGCTCTCCCTGCTCTATCCCCCACCACACGCATCCAGCATGTGTGAGAATTACAACTTGTTCTCATTAGTAACTGTGGCACATTCTGGCAAGTGATGCTCAAGGAGTATCACCCCTAATTGAGTTATTCAGTTTAACTAGTTGGAATAAAGACGATTTTGCCTCTCAAGGAATACTTGGTAAATTCTTTAGACAGTTTGGGTTGTAACTGGACAGAAGTACTACTGGCACCTAGTGGTTAAAAGCTGAAGAAGTTGCTAAAGTATCCTACAACACAAAAAATAGCTTTCCTATAACAAAAGAATTATGAGATCCAAAATGTCAATGATGCTGAGATAGAAGAACTCTGATTTAGATAATAGATTCAGGACTATTTTACTATCAGCATCAAATACAATGTCAAGCAAATTAGAAGCATTTCATAAAATGATGTATGAAAAAGATTAGTTTATAATCCCAGGACATGCTGTAAGAATTTAATATGCTACAATTTATAACCAGTGTATAAACACATGGAAAGCAACTAATCTCCACAGGTTCTTTATAAAGATCATAAGTCATAATATATTCTTAATGTTTTAACAATCACCACATCAATTCACAAATCCTTTCCATTTAATCTCTTCTACTGAAATACTGCTGTCCACTGCAGGAGCATCATCTAAGAGGGAAAACAAAGATGGGTGCAATGACGAATATCTGTAATCCCAGAGACTCTCCAGGCTGAGGCAGGAGAATCACAAGTTCAAGGCCAGCATCAGCAATTTAGCATTGCCCTAAGCAACTCAGTGCAACCTTGTTCTACATTTGTCAAAATAAAATTCAAAAGGGCTGGGGAAGCACCCCTGGGGGTTCAATTCCCAGTACAAAAAAAGAAAAAAGCACCACATAAAACAGGAAGACCAGGACATTTAATGTTCTTTAACTGAAAAACCTGAGAGTTCTATCACTTACAATTCTCTCACAGGGCAGCTAAATGCAGAAGTTGGAACCTGTATATATGCTTTGAGCTACAACACATCAATCACTGAAATTCAAGTGAGTGCAAAGGGGAAGGTGACATTTCTACTGAGAAATGAAAAAAATTCAATGCCAAATATTAAGAAAGCTGACATTCTTTTCTGGTAACATACAAAAACACAGCAAAGGCAATACACATAGCCTTATTTCACATACCTTCTGTCACCTAAAATAACAAAATGTCTTCTATACTTTTAGATTAAGAATAATGAACTTGGAAGAACATGCAAAAGAAATATTAGAACGTGTGACAGAATAAGCTGGCAGAGTTGAGGCTGATGAACATAAGGAATTTTAAAAATAATTAAAGCTTGGGGCTAGGGTTGTGGCTCAGTGGTAGAGCGCTTGCCTAGCACACATAAGGTACTGGGTTTGATACTCAGCATATATAAAATAAATAAATAAAATAAATCTACAATTTTAAAAAATATTTAAAAAATAATTAGAGCTTGGAATGCTTCTATAAGAAAAGCAAAGTAGGCTGGGGATGTAGCTCAGTTGGTAGAGAACTCACCTACAATGCACAGGTCCTGGGTTCAATCCCCAGCAATTACTCCCATCCCCCACCCCACCCTAAAAAAGACAAAGCAATCTACAGACATCAGTCAAGACTGACTTCAAAAGACAAAGATTTAAAACTTACTATTCTAATTAGTTACTTTCGGGCACATGTTTCTTATAAGACTGTGAACATATCTAATTCATACTTGCATACCTAGCAAAAATTCAATGTGTGGCATTGTATTTATTGATGGAACAGATGAACTCTCTGTAGATTTTCCTCCTGTAAATGACTCTTTTAGTCAGTTACATCCTTCTATTTAGTAAATTATCCATTTTGCCTTCCACTGTGCTTAATGTCCTAGTAAGTCAAAATCAGTGGTACAATGAATGTTATGTTCAGATCAAAAATGTCACATAGATCTCAGTAACATTTTTACTAAACCAACCACTACTTACCACCACAGTTACCACTACAGCCACCAAAAGAGTCAGTATTTCTGCTTTCTGCCTAATTATGCCTTACCTTCATCAGGGGCAGCTGAAGCTCCTTCAGGTATTATAGGTTGTAATTCCCCAGTTTCAGAATTATTTTCCAAATCAGACATGGGCATTCCTTCCAGGCGACCTCCTTTAGCATTAGCCCTCAAGAAGGGAGAAAACAACTTGATATTTTCACATAACTAGTAACTGAAACAATATCTATATTTACTTCTCATCCTGAAATTGAGCTCCCAAACGAGTATAGGGCACATGCACTAATGTTGAATACTAAACTTCAAATTTTATTTGTAAAATTTCATTAATGATTTACAATGAAAGATTATGAGGTGGTCAATTGTATTAATGTAAATTCCTGGTTGTGATACTGTATTGAAACTTCTGCAAAATGTTATTGACGAAACAGAGTAAGATATGCAGAATATCTCTGTATTATTTCTTTCAACTATGTGTAAATTTATAATCAATTAAAAACAAATATAAACAATAGTTCTAAATAATATGTTCTGACTAATATGTAAATAGTTTAGAGACAGTACTGAGAAAATAAGGTAATAAAAAAGTTGTACCTGAGTCACAGTTGTTCAAATATACATCAAAACTGAGAAGACACAAAGTAAGAAGAGCAGGGATGTGTGTGGGCATGGAATTGGAAAACTAGGCTGATGGGAGATAAAGATGAGAAAATTTTCACTTTTTTCCCCCTTTCATTTTGGATCACTTAATATTAGTATTTAAACTATTTGTTACACAACTCTAAATCAAGGAGGGAAAAATGCTGAAGAGCACCCATGTAAACCAGCAGATAAATTCACTGTAAAAGGTGAATTATAGGGTTGGGGTTGTGGCTCAGTGGCAGAGCGCTTGCCTCGTACATGTTAAGGTATTAGGTTCGATCCTCAGCACCACATAAAAATAAAAAAACAAAGGTATTGTATCCATGTGTAACTAAAAAAATACTTTTAAAAAAGTTGAATTATAGCTAGCTGCAGGCATTTGTATAGGAAACTTGGGGGGTGCTATGTTCATGTGCATTTAATCTTGATAACTAAAAGCAGATACAAATACCTCTGTAACAATATATTAAAGCTAGTTGCAGCTTTAATCTAAAAGGAATATATAGGTAGGTAATAGGGAAAACACCAGTAAACACCTTTCTACTTCTGAAATGTGAGCTTAAAAGAAATGAAACTACCAGCTAGCCAGGAACAGTGGTGTACCCTGTAATCCCAGCTATTTAGAAGGCTGAGGCAAGAGAATCACAACTTTGAGGCCCTGGCAACTCAGCAAGAACTTGTCTCGAAATAAAAAGTAAAAAGAGCTAGGGAGAAGAAGAAGAAGAAAAAAAACCAAAAAGTGGGGGTGGGGGGACTAGAGATGGGGCTCAGTGATAGTGTGTCTATGTTTAATCCCAGTACTGAAGTAAGCTTCTTGAGTTGAATGGGGTTATAGGTGTGGGAAAACATGCCCACCTCAAAATTCTTTTCAAAGGCTCCAAGATAGAATTAGTCCATCATTTAAATTCAGAAATGTATTTAATATATATAGAAAGAGATCAGCAGATGGTTATTTATGACTCATCTCAAAGTTTAACTGACATGGGATGTGAAATTTGGTTTCCTCATAGAGAAACAAAGGTATCGATTACCATATATCCTTTGGAGAAATTTCAACTATAAGTTTTGAAGATGCTTTCATAGGATAGTAAAAAGCTTAAAGTAGAAAGTAAAAGTAAAAAAGTAAAAAGTAAAAGTAAAAAAGCTTAAAGTAGAAAAGCAGTGTTAAAATAAGATTGCTGGAAGTGCTCTGTTCTATACATGAGATAAACCTGTGATGCATAATAATATAGCCCATCAAAAATGTCTTTGAAAGGTGTGGAATAGATTTAAATACATACATAGACCCCTCACCAGAGTTCATTCAGGTTATACATCACTGTTATCCTAACTTCAGTGAAAATAAGTTCCAACATATTTAACTCGAACTTCTAGTCCTATTTCATCCCATTAAAAAAAAAGGAGATGGCAGCAGCAAGGTCTATAATTGTTTAAAAGTTAGATTTTAATGCAATAACTTTTTTGCCCATAAAAAAAACTAACCAAGAAATTAATTTTGTTCATTATGAGGCAGACTTAAAGTTCCAAACAACAAAAGAACTTAACTTACCCCAAGGTGACCATTTTCCTTCTTTTCTCAACAGTGGGTAAGCCATTGAAAACTGCAACCACAACTGCATCTGAATCTAAAGTTTTACACTGCCTGTCTTCGGTTTTTGGCAGAATATCACTTATGATGCCATGTGTCAAGGCTCGAGGAGAATTGTGCCTGCTCCCAGACTGAGAGCTTCCTGGGGAGCCTTCAAAAAAGAAAGAAGGCAAATAAACATGGAAATTCTTAGATTAGTTTTCAAATGTACATGTAGCAAGATTTCCTAAACAAAAACATCAAGTCTTTCTGATGCCAGGTGCTTAAATAAAAGGAGTTCAGGATATACAGTTAAATGATAACATTTACTTAAGGGTCTGTTCTGTGGTGAGATCAAAAAGCTCCAAATACACCTAAACATTTTTGGTGCCTTTCAAGGTCCAAAGTTACATTCTAGTATCAACTTCCAATAACAGATATCTACCAATGAAATTATATTCTTAACTCCCCAAATTTACCTTCAGACAAAGTCTGACAATCTCCCTTTGAGCGGCTATTTTCCCCAGAGTCCACTGCTCTTCGAAGTGAAAGACTACCTGCAACACTGGACCGAGCTGGCTTGGGTGAATTATTCTTCTTATTTGTGGCTGCCAAGACATTTAGAAACATTTTTTGAATATGATCAAATAACACAAAATATACTACCTACTCAGTCAGAGAAAGGTTTAATTTTACCATGCAAGGAAGCTTTTCTGTCTATACTGTCCAAAAATAAACAGGGTACTTTTGTAGTTCTAACTAATTTATTTGAAATTCTATAACAAAAGTATTCCTATTTTATTGTTTATGGTGTAGAATCTTAACTTACATTAACCATGGACCTCACAAGAAAAAAATATACGTTTCTCAACAAAGAAACAAAAGTATAAAAAAAAAAAAAAAAGAAACAAAAGTATAATCCCCCAATACCTGGAAATTGTTAAAATATTATTGGATTAAAATCAGAGCCAGGATTGGTGGCACATGCCTATGTGTGTCTAATAAAGGACACAATAAATGGTAGGCTGAACAATATCAAATTGCCGTTTTTGTGGTTTAAAAACAGTTGCACATTGGCAATTTCATTTGGTTCAACCTCTATTAATCAGCTCAAAAACAAAAGTGTGTAAATATGGAAATTTGATTTTTTAAAAATGAGTTTATAAAGAAGGGATTCTTTAGGCTAGGTAGAGTGGCATGTGCCTATAATTCCCGCAGCTCAGGAGGCTGAGAAAAGAGGATCAAAAATCAGAGGCCAGCCTAAACAATGTAGCAAGGTCAGCCTCAGATACTTAACAAGATCCGTCTCAAAATAAAAAATAAAACAGGCTGGGAATGTAGCTCAGTGGTAAACCATCTCTGGGTTCAAATACCTGAAGAACTCCACTCCTCGAACCAAAAAAAAAAAAAACAAAAGAAAAAAAGAGAATGGATTCTTCAGAACGCATATTCCATTCATTTGGGGAAAAATAATCATCAAATTTAACTTGGACACCACCATATGTAAAACTAATTATATATGAACTCATTTCCTAAATGTAAAATAAGAAAAAAAAAGTACAAGAAAGTAGGCTTACTTTTATAAGCCTGGAGTTAAAAATGCCTTCCAAATAAAATAAAATTTTACATCTTTATGGTTACCAGGAGGAAAAATGGCAATGGGGAGATATATTTGCAAAATTTGTTAATAAAGGGCTTTCACCAAAGTCCATCCAAAAAGCAGTATTTTTTTTCTCTTAAATCAGTGCATTGTTGGATAAAATCTGCCAATTTCTTGAACACAAGGTGACACTGGGTATATTTTCAATTTTTTTTTTTTTTTTTGCCTTTTTGTACTTTTTGCACACCTGTAATCCAGCAACCCAAGAAGCTAAAGCAAGAAGATCTCAAATTCAAGGACAGCCTCAGCAATTTAGTGAGACTTTAAGCAACTTAGCAAGATCCTATCTCAACAAATAAAAAGCGCTGAGGATGTGACTAAGTGGTTAAGGACCCCTGTGTTCAATCCCCAATCAACATAAAACTCAAAATCCTTACTGAGGTCTTACAAGACCCTACCTTATTTAAATCTCGCCTACTTTCTGACTCAATTTCTTACTAATCTCCCCTGTTTTATGCACCCTATTCAGCCAGATTGGTCTTCAACTCTTTCAACATGCAAAGTGAATCCTGTGCCAATAATTTTGCATTTTCTGATCTGTTTATCCAGAAAACTCCTTCCCCCAGATGTTTAAGTGGTTGTCACCCTCTCAAAACCTTCAGGTCTCAATTCAAATGTTTCCCCCTCAAATATTTCCTCTGGCTACCTTAATCAAAGTAACATATTCCTCATTTATGATACCCATCCCAATCCTCTGTTGTTTCCTTCACAGCAATCAAATTATTTTACCAAATCAAATTATCTTAACTTTAAAAAAAATAAAGCTTAATGTCTTATTCCCATCATAGAATGCAAGATCCATGAAATTAACATTTTGTCCCTTATCAGTAAACAGAATAAGAAATCAAGAACTATTAGCTCTATTATATAATAAAAAATATGGAGAATTCAATTTTGGATGGGGGAAAAAGTCTGCATGTATTTGTTGTCTTAATTAATTTGAAGAGAGAAGTTTACATATTATTATCCTGAAAATAATCAGTCTTCCAGTTTCTCAAATAATATAAAGAAAGGAACATTTTACTTACGATTTCGTATGTAACAGCTAGCAACTGATGACTTTGCCAGGAGCTCCATTCCCAAATCCTGTAATCTTCCAGAGTTTTCAATGCCACAAGCAGCCAGAGCTGCCTGGTCAGCAGAAAAAAGGTTCGTCTGCATATCTCCAGAAGCAGCACTGCTAGTTTTTATTTCTGAAAGTGTATTCCTTACATCAGTTTTCATATATCGAACTTCAGCCATTTGAGTTTTGAGTCTTTTTAACATCTTTAAATCAGAGGGCACTCGCCACATTGCCTGCTGCTTCCTTTGGTCTTTATCTTTTCGAGAATATGACGCTTCAGAGACAAAGGGACAAATCATGTTAATATAAATTTTAACATTCATGACATCATTTCATACCACAAATATATGCAATTTTGATGTGTAATAAAATAAGCTAAAGTGCTTTAGTTAGTATCAAAAAAGAAAGACATTAATTGTATTATTAAGGATAGACACACATCCTAACTTTATTCACACCTACAAAGTTGCAGCCGAGGCTCATTATAATCACACAACTCTCAAGTATAAATGCTGCCATACTGCTTTCTCCTTTATACTTCTCCACTTTTCTCAAATTCTCTGCAGTGTTTTTAGTATGTTAATAATTGAAAAAATGAAAAAGAAAAACCTAGAAGCCACTTTTGTCAAATCTGCCATACGTATGTTAATATGTGTGTGTGTGTGTTCTAACTGAATTTAAAAAGTCTGCTTCACTATTAAATATACCTGCTAAGTACCACAGAACATAATAAAAAAAAATTTACAATCACTAAATTAGGATAGTGTTTTCTTTCTTCCCAGAGAAAATAACTAAAGTTGTTTTTAGTTTCTTCTCCCTCTACCCAAATATTAAAAAATACAAACAAAGGAGATATATACTTCTGTTATACTGCAGGAAGGGAAAGAGGTTAAAAAAAAAAATGGTACCAGGGATTGAACCCTGAAGTGCCTAATCACTAAGCCACATCCCCAGCTCTTTGATTTTATTTTGAGACACGGTCTCTCTAAGTTGCTTAGGCCCTCACTAAATTGCTGAGGCTGGCTTTGAACTTTTAATCCTCCTGCCTCAAACTCCCAAGCTACTGGGATTAAGCCTTTTGGTTTTCTTGTGATATTCTTGCCTCTTCTCTCATAATAAGACAACTGCCACAATTCCAGTTATCATGTATCATGGGACTATGTCACTAGCAGGATGTAAAAGACAAGGTAGAGAAGAAACATTATTCCTGCAACCTAAAATCTTTTGGCAAGGCAGAGGTGGACTTCAAAATTAAGTTCTGAAGTCAAAGAACACTAGCCTGGCACAGTAGCACATGCCTACAGTTACAGCTACTGGGGAGGCTGAGGCAGGAGGACCACAGCTCAGAATTTTTGACGTCAGTCTGGGAAACACAGCAAGACTTGTTATTTAAAAAAAAAAAAAAAAAAGTCCACTGTAGTAGTGCCTACCTGCAATTCTAGCTACTTGGAAATTTCTGAGACAGGAAAATCAAGTTAAAAACCAGCCAGGAGGATTTAGGAAAACCTTATCTCAAAATAAATGTTAAAAAGGGCTGGAAATGTAGCTTAGTGTATGTACTCTGGGTTCAAACCCCAGCATAACACAAAAACAAAAAACCCAAGTCAAATTAAAAAACAGCAAGCCAGGCACAGTGGTATATACTTATAGTCCCAGTAATTTGTGAGGTTGAGACAAGAGGATTCCAAATTCAAGGCCAATCCTAGCAATTTCGGCCCTAAGCAACTCAGTGAGACTTTGTCTCAAAAAAATAAAAAAGGCTGGGGATGTGACTCAATGACAAAGTGCCCCTAGGTTCAATCCCCAGTAAAACAAAACCTGGGGACCTACACGTAACCTACTAGACAAAAAACAAATTCCTTATTAGCAGAAGTGAAAAACCAGCTTAGATAATGCTACAAGAAGAAAAACACTAAAAGGGGGCCGTGGTTGCAGCTCAGTTGCCTGGCTGCCTGCTTTCCAGCTTGGGGGCCTGTCTCCTAGCCAGGAGGCAGTGCTGTGGGCAGTTGTAGGGAGTGGCTGCCTGCTTCCTGGTCTTGAGGCTGCACTTGTGGCTGGGAGGGCTCCTGGCAACCAGCCAGTAGGCGGTGATTCTTCCGCCCTCTGGACAGCTCCAGCCTTCCCTTACAGACTACGGGGTGGGTGTGCTCCACCCCTCTGACCTTTATTCTGATTGGCTCCTGTGCAGTATATAAGCTGTGTGTACTTCCTTATTAAAGGAGATCCTGCTTTGACTGTTCTCCCTGGCACGTTTGATTGTCCTCCTGGGAGGGAGGGTTGGGGTGGGCGGCCAGTTGACCTTTACCTTTCTTGGCTCGTCCTGGTCTGGGCTTGCTTTTCCCCCCGCTTCTCCTCTGGTCGGGAGGAGAGGGGGGCTAGACACCACGACGGAAAAACTGTAAAAGGGGGCCTTGTGGTAGAGCGTTTGCCTAGCATGTGTGAAGAAGTGGGTTCGATATCTGGCACCACATAAAAATAAAAACAAATAAAATAAAAGGTATTATGTCCATCTACAACAACAACAAAAAAACCCTAAAAGGTCAACATTGTGGTTGGCCCAATAGCCACCACCCCCAAACCCCCCATCTCTGCCTTGCCAAAAAATCTTGATAGTAAAAACTTTGTTCTCCAGGTTGCTGGGAGGAAAAAGGTTTCTTCTCTACCTTGTCTTTTACTTACTGCTAGTGACATATTCTCGTGATACACGATACTTGGAACTGCGGCAGTTGTTTTATTACCATGACAGAAGAGGCAAGAAAATCATCCAATGCCCTGCTTCAATATACCTGATGAACCTGAAATCACCCACCTCCAGAATTAGCATGCATGATAATTAAGTGCCTTAATTATTTAAGCTGACATTTAGTAGTATTTTGTTACTTACAATTGAAAACATTCATAACAGAACATGACTAGAGATTTTAAAATGCCAGGATTTGGTTTCAGATCTATCATTTAGTTACTATAACCTTCTATAAATTATCAACTTCTTTTGAGTCCATTTGCTTATTCGTATAATGAAGGCAATATACAGCATCACAGTTGTTGGGAGGCTCAGAAGATTCAAAGTTTGTGAAAAAATACTCTGCAACATTGTTCCCATCTAGTCCATTATTCATCAAAATGTTAGAGAAGTTTTTTAAAGCCCAAATCAGATTATTACTTTTTGCTTAGAATTCTTAACATGGCATTCTATAGTAGTTAGAGAGGTACTGACATGGCACACCAGACATTCCCCTAATTCTACCTTATTTGTCAATGGCTTTATCTTCTACCTCTACTTCACAACGTAACTCTAGCTTTTGGAGTTACAGGTTGAGAATCCCTTATCCAAAATGCTCAGGACCAAGCCAGACATTGTGGCACATATGTAATCATAGCTACTCAGGAGATTGAGGCAGGAGGACCTCAAGCTTGAGACCACCCTCAGCAACTTAGTGAGGTCCTAAGCAAACTTAGCAAAGACTCTTGTCTCAAAAAATAAAAGGACTGGAATGTAGCTTGAACCCAAAGTGCCGTTGGGTCAATGTCTAGTACAAAAGAAAAGAATGCCCCAAACCAGAAATGTTTCAGATTCTGGAATATTTCCGCAGATTTCACCACATGGGCATTCCTAACCCACAAAACTGATATTCAAAATATGAAATCCAACATCATGTCAGTACTCAAAAAGTTTTGGATTTTAGAGCATTTCAGATTACAGGATTAGGGATGCTAAACTTATACTTGCAACTCTGATATATGACCCATGTTCACACCCACTTCCATTCTTTTCATTGCCTAGTCCCTTTACTCATCAGATATAATCTAAAATATCTCCTTCTTCAGACACCTGTACCAACTACACACCTCCTCACAAGTTAATTCTTACCTAAATTTGTATACTCTATAGATTATAGAGTAGAACAGCAATCTATAATCTATAGAGTAGAACAGCAATCTTATAGCTTTGCATGCTAAGCACCCATTTCTTAAAATCTACCACTAAGATATACCTAAAATAGAGAAAACAAATCAATAAAATATACACAATTTAAAGGTGGATATTAAATCCCTTCATATTTTAGGTTAAAAATGTTTTCTGAACAAAATATTTGTGGCTCCCCCTCCCACTCCACATCTATATGGTCAAATAGGAAAATCTTAATCCATGTGGTTCTGTTTATTTTTACTATGAAATGATTAAGGATGGAGTTAGGGATAGAAGTAAAAATTCTAAAAGGTAAAATACAAAAAGACTCAGACAAACTCCCATGATAAGATAATAAGTCATAAACATTTACTGAGCCTGTCTTAAATGCTAGGTATTATAAAGGGCAGGGGATACAACAATGAATAAGATAAACCCCTAATCTTTACCCTCCAAAACTCACAATCCAACTGGAAAAAGTGAAATCAATTTCGGTACTACCTAAGTGCAAAGACAGGAAAGTGTACATTGCTTTGGGACTAATAACTAACAACTCAAAGTTCTCACTCTGCCAATAAGACTTTTTGAATGTGCAAAGCTATAAAGTTAATTAAAAGTGAATCTCATTGATACTTCTTTCACATCAGTTGCTTATGGCTTTCACAAAGGACAATTCTCCATAGCTTTTCCTCCACACTTCATATCTGTCAATGATGCCACCCTTCTCCTCGGCACCTAAGGTCCTTCAGTCTTCTTGATCACATTCCAATTAGTTACCAAGCCCTATAAACCCTGAATTCCACAAATTTTAAATAGTATCACTGCCATATTATAAGTAAAATCTTAATTTAAAATGGCCTCATTTAGTATTCCCTAGAGGAAGAAAGAATCTTTTTTCTGGGGGTGGGGGAGAATCACACCTATAACCTTTGCATGCTAAGCACCCATTTCACTCTACCACCAAGCTATACCATATACCTCCCAAAGGGAAATTTTTATTGTAAAGAGTCTTAAAACTTTATCCCAAGTCCACATATTTTAAAGTATATGACTGAGTAAATAAATAAAAATGTATGAATTTGCCCTCTCATTCTAGGAATGATTTAAATAAACCCCTAAAAAGACCCTCATTAAACTTTCATTTCTCATAGGTTTCTCAGCACTGTCAGCTTTCTAAAATATACTTTCAATCAACCCTTTCCTAAAATGAAACAACAGCTCTCTACTACCCACTATGAATAAACTCCTCAGACTAGCATGAAAGGCCTTCCACAGAATGAACCCAGCTTGACTTTCTAATTCTACTTAGCACATATATCTTAAAATCTGATTCAATCAGATTATTTGATACCTTTTAAAAATGCTCCTTTTAAAGCACAGTGGTCAGCAACTTAGTGAGACTCTGTCTCAAAATTTAAAAAATAAAAAGGACTGGGATGTGGCCCATTTGTAAAATACCTCTGGGTTCAATCCCAAGGACCCCAAACAAAACAACTCCCCCCTCCCCCCACACACACACACAAAAACAGGGGCTTTCAGTTAGTCTGATACATAATTGATGTTCATTAACTTTATGTGTTGAAATAAAGAGTATATAAATGGAGGAGGGAGAATAGAAGTTCACTGGATTAGACAAAGGAGAATGAAGGGAAGGGATGGGAGATGGGATTAAGAAACACAGTAGATATACTCAAACGACTTAAAATCAGCGTACTACAGGGACACAGCCACATCAATGCTTACAGCAGCACAATTCACAATAGCTAAACTGTGGAGCCAACCTAGATGCCCTTCAGTGGATGAATGGATAAAAAAAAATGTGACATATATACACAATGGAATTTTACTCAGCAATAAAAAAGAATAAAATCATGGCATTTGCAAATAAATGGATGGCATTGGAGAAGATAATGCTAAGTGAAGTTAGCCAATCCCAAAAACACAAATGTCGAATGTTTTCTCTAATATAAGGAGGCTGATTCATAGTGGGGCAGGGAGGGGGAGCACAGGAGGAATAGACGAACTCTAGATAGGGCAGAGGGGTGGGAGGGGAAGGGAGGGGGCAGGGGGTTAGCAAGGATGGTGGAATGTGATAGACATCATTATCCAAAGTACATGTATGAAGACACCATTTAGTGTCAACATACTTTATATACAACCACAGATATGAAAAATTGTGTATATGTGTAATAAGAATTATAATGCATTCTGTCATTTTTAAAAAAATCAATTTACAAAAAGAAAAAAAAAAGAAAGAAAAGAAACACCGTAGAATGAATTAGACATAACTGTTCTATGTTCATATATGAATACACGACACATAAAACTCCACATTATGTACAACCACAGCAATGAGATCCTAATTAAAATAAGTTATACTCCATGTATGTATAATGTATGTCAAAATACACTCTACTCTCATATCCAAAAGAAATTTAAAAATTTTTAAAAAACAAAATACACAAAGAATCAAAATAAACCTCGAAGTCCAAGCAAGCCTTTTAACAAAGATAAAGTTGGATCTTTTTGTAACACTAGCTTTTATTAGCCTTCCCTCAGAGATGGATTATTTTTATTTGGCTTCTATTACTCTGTTCTCTTGACTTTATTTCTGTCCAAAAGTTTCTACTTGGCTCATCTTTCTCACACTCAGTAAAAACAGATGTTCATTAGGATTAGGTACCTCCGGGCTGGGGATGTAGCTCAGTGGTAGAGAGCTTACCTAGCAAGTGCCAGGCCTTGGTTTGATCCCCAATACCATCTCCAACCGTATACATATAAAATGATATGTCCCTGACTTTCTTCTCTTCTCTTCCTTCTTATTCAGTACTGAGGAATACCACAGCATGAATAAAAAGCTTTTTTTTTTTTTTTTTCCTGTGTTCAATCTGGATACACATCCACTTGGAAGTTAGGCCTAAAAAATTTCATATGGACCAAACTACCAGGCACAATATAAATGACAAATCATTTAAAACCTTCTTAAAGGCTCTTTTTTGTCTTTCTTTGTGGTACTGGGGGGTAGAACCCAGGGGTGCTCTACCACTGAGTTACATGCCCAGCCCTTTTTATTTTTATTTTGAGAAAGGGTCTAAGTTGCCCAGGCTGCTCTTAAAACTTGCAATCCTCCTGCCTCAGCCTCTTCAGTAGCTAGAATTACAGGAATTTGCCAACACACCTGGCTCCAGCATTTATAATTTGTTTTTGCAGATAATACCTTTGGGCAATAATAATAAAATAATGATTTGGTTGCTATAAATGTCATTCTTATAAAATGAAAAATCAATCTGTGACAGAAATTCACTATTTTCCAACACTTAGATGAAATAATTGGAAAAAAATTCAATGATTCTCTTTTAGAGAGCAACAGAAAAAAGAGAAATTATTATTTGAATTATATTACCTGTGGGCTGCAAAAGTGAAGCAGGTGGGCGAGGCTGTAAGCCCCACAAATTATCCATACTGCTCCGGTCCTTAAGGTCCAACAAGTGTATTAAAATTAAAGGATCAATGTCTAATAAACTACTAGTAGCGGCAGAGCATAAATGTGCTCTTCTTGACATTCTGCTACTGGCACCCACATAACTGTGGCTATTACCTGCAAAACAAAACAAAAAGAGAGAGTGATGTGAAAATATATATATTTGCACAAATTTAAGTATTTGTAAAAGAAAAAGAGTAGTTAATGACGCTCGAATATATGTCTAGAAATCTCTTAGGATTTCATGTTCATGAGAAGCACAAGGAAACCAGACGGCTAGATAGATGTACACTTCACAGTGGATGAGGAGTGACTTCATTAGTACCCAGAATCCAAGAGCAACCATCAACCCAATCCTGCTTCTGTTTTTCTAGCCAATTACTCTCTCACTGGGGGAAAAAAAAAAAAAAATGCTTTCCTTGTTGGTTTATACACTTTAGCTACTCCCTGTCCACATGTTCCTATCCTTTTTTTTACTATATTCCCACAGTCATCAATGCCTTTAGCATCTATTTAAGTTTCCCTGAGACCTAATATTGTTACCATTCTGTACATAACATATATATGTATATGTATCTCATACATAACTGTGGAGTCTAACAAGTATATACAAAGTGATCGCACCCAAATGAAGAAACAGATTACTGGCATCCCTGCCCCCACGTCTCCTAAAATTGCTTACTACTCCTATTCCCCAAAAGTATCCCCCCCCCACTCCACCAAGCATTGGGGATGGAACCCAGGAGCACTGTACTACTGAGCTACATTCCCAGTCTTTTTCATTTTTTTATTTTTGATCACCCTGGCTGGCCTTGAACTTGTGATCCTCCTACCTCAGCCTCCCAAGTCACTCGGATTACAGGCATATACCTCAATGCCAGGTACCTTCATCCTAACCTAAATACATAATAAGGGGTTTTTTTTTTTTCTTAAATATTTATTTTTTAGTATTGGACACAATACCTTTATTTCACTTATTTATTTTTATGTGGTGTTGAGGATCGAACCCAGGGTCTTGCATGTGAGAGGCAAGCGCTCTACCGCTGAGCCACATCCCAGCCCACATAAAAAGGTTTGCCTGTTTGAATTTATACAAAAATATTAACAAGGAACGAACTCTTATATCCTGCCTATTACTCAACATGCTTATCATATTCATCTATATTGCTATAATATAGCAGTTTATTTATCTTCACTATTGATGTGTAACATCCCAGTATATGAATATATCCAATTTATTTTTCTATTCATTGGAAAAAAATTAAGTTTCTTCTGGATTTTCATTATTAAAAATAAGGCCACCACAATTATAAACAGATAAGTGATCTTGAAGCTAATACAGAAAAGACATTGAACACCGCAAAGAAGTAAATGAATCACTGAATGCAGTGGCCTGTAATTCCACTGATTCAGGAGACTAAGGCAGGAGGATACCAAATTTCAGTTACCATTGGCAACTTAGTAAGGTCCCTGTCTCAAAATTAAAAAGAAAAAAATGGGGAACGAATATAGCTCCCTTACCAAAGTCTATTGCCAATTAGCTAATCCACCCATATTTGGTGCCATCCTTATCAATATTTTCAGTGTTGGTTTCTCATTTAGGAAAGATAATGCTCAGTCATTCTTATAATTCCAATGAACAATGCAGTGCCTGATGCCTACAGGGAACCCATTAAACATATGTGGAACAAGTAACTTAATCTTTACCTTAAAATACAGGTTTTGACTAATAACCTTACGAATTATCAGTTTTAGAAGTGTGTTCTATTCCTCAAGTATCATTATGTTTTATAAATCATATATGGCCAGCAAATAAAAACTAGAGTTTTCTTGCAAAGCTGGTTTAATGAGCTAATATTGTGGATTAGTATAATACCTACAAGCTTTTCAGCACTTTTTTTTTTAAAAACAGAAGTTCTCTTTCCACTACATAAAAATAACTAATAAACTAAAAGCAATTCTTATGGGAAGCAACTGACTCAATAAGTGTTTCTTATTTCAAGGTATCTCCTTATTTGATACTGACTATAAATGAAATTATTAATACCATTTTATTTTAATATCTAGTAAATATGATATATCCTCACCAAAACTCATGCTGAGGTTTCATTCTTCAATATAGCAGTGTTGAGAGGTGGGGCCTAGTGAGATGTTTGGATCAAGGGGCAGAGCCCTCATAAATATATTAATGCTCTCAGGAATAAATTGTCACTCTCATGGGACTGGATTAGGTATTAGAAGTTAGCTATCTGTCACTGTGATAAAATACATGAGAAAATCAATTTAAAGAAGAAAAGGTTTATTTTGGCTCAGAGTTTCTGTATAGGAGGCCTTGGGCCCATGGCAAGGCAGACTATCATGGTGGACAGCTTACAGCAGAAAAAAGCTGCTCAGATGATGGCTGCCAACAAGCAGAAAGAGGGAAATAAAAAGGGGTGAGGGCCCTCATATCCCCTTCAATAGCATATCCAAAATAAAGTGTGGAGATCTAACTTCTTTCTACTAGGCCCCACACTTCGTAGAAGATGTATACCACCTCCCAATAACACTACATCTCCCAATAACATTACAGACTGGTAACCAAGCCATTAGCATATAAGCCTTTAGAGGACATTTAAGACCCAAATCGTAACACTGTGAGACCCAAACCATAACATTGCATTTGAAAGTATCTGCTTGCCCTTTTGCTGCATACCTTGAGTTGAAGCAGTATTAGAGTCTTACCAGAAAATGAACTGATACTGGTGCCATTCTCTTCCCAGCCTCTACAACCATGAGCCAAAATAAATCCTTTTTATATAAATTAGCCAGTCTCAGGCATTCTGTTATCGTAACAGAAAATAGACTAAGACACCTAGTTTTCTCTATAAGACTCATCTCCTTTCTAACAGATGTTCTAACATCCCAATTCTTTAGATGACATGACTCTTTAGATGACTATAGTTCTGAAATACCATTCCAGGTTTGAAATGGACCTTCATAGCTAGCATGTAAAAAAAATAAATAAAGCAATTCCAGATTCTGCTATCTCATCCCAATTCAGTTTTTGTTCACTAACTTATTTTTTTTTAAACATTGTTTTCTTCTACTGGAGATTGAGTCCAGGGGTACTCCACCACTGATCCACATCCACAGCCAAATTTTTTTTTTTTTTTGAGACTGGGTAATGCAAAATTGCCAAGGCTGGCCTTGAACTTATGACCTTCTCGTCACTGGGTAGTGAGAGCTCTACTGCTGAGCCACAACCCCAGCCCTCCAATAAAGGCTTTTAAAGTAGAGAAATAACATGGTCAGGTAATAATGAAAAGAAAGGAAAACCCTTCATTTAAACTCTTGATGTGGGACACATGATGGAGAAGAGCAATAAGTGATACAAAAGCCCACATGAGAAAGGCTATTTGGAAAGAGGCCTGAACTAGTAATAGACAGGAATGGGAGTAGATGAATGTATGCACTCTCAAGGAGCTAGAATCAACAGACGTTGGTAATATATTAAAGGTAGTTTGAAGGTGAGGAAGAAGTGAAAGATGTACTATCAATCAGTAAAATGATGACTACTGCTCAGACAGTTGGTAGAAAGGTAATGATTTGTCTGAGAGGTGCTGAGTCACACTGAATTGCTACATGGGTCTGAATGTTATGGGAAAGATAAAGGCTACATGTACAACTTGGAGAGTAATCAGTATAAATGACTAAATACAGGTTTGGACAAGATCACCCCAAAATAAAGTGTAGAACAGGGAGAGTGCAGTGCTTTAGGTTGGGAGTCGAAATGGTAAAAAAAAAAAAAAAAAAAAGAGGTCTTATTCAAGTATGCAAAAGAATATATGTCCTCCCCCCAGAAATATACTCAAAATAGGGCAACATAGGTGTTATCGTTCGAGTGACTCTACCCAAAGTCATGTTTAACATTCGATTCCCAAAGTAACTGCTGAGAAGTGTTAGGACTTCTTCTTAGGCCATAGGGGCTCCACGCTCATGAATAGATTAATATCTTTGAGAGATTGGGCTAGATCTGTTAAGACTGGATTAGTTACTGTGAGAGTGGGTTGTTATAAAGGGAAGGTTATTCCTCAAGTTTTAGACTTTCTCACATGCACTCACTTACCACTCTCACATACACTCCTGATGTGATGCCATCTGCCATGAGGCTCTAATAAGAAGCTGGCAGATGATGTTACCATGTTCTTGGACCTCCAAACATGTGACTTAAATAAACCTCATTTCTTTATTAATCACCTAGCCTCAGGTAATTTGTTATAGCAACAAAACTGGTAGAAGATTGGTACTGATAATGGAGTTGTTGCCATAACAATACCTGAAACATGGAAACAGATTTGGAAATGGGCAATGGGCAAAAGTTAGAAGAGTTTGCAGAAGTAGGCTAGAAAATGCCTAGAATGCTGTAAATAGAGTACTTTACACACCCTTGGTATGGACTCAAACAATGAGATTTGGGAAAGTTTGAAACTTCTTAGAGATTGGCAACATGATCATGATCAGAATGCTGTTAGAAATGTGAACAATAAAAGCCATGCTGATGTAGTCTTAAATGGAGAACTGTTTTAATGGAAACTGGCAAAAAGCTATTCTTGGTCTAAAGTAGCAAAGATTTTGGGTGAACTATGTCCATGTCCTAGGACTTTACTGTCAAGAGTGAGAACCTAAGGTATTTAGAAAAAGAAAATTTTAAAGCAAAATATTCCAAGAGCTTTGTAGGTACTTTTTTAACAGCATACAGTAAGATTCAGAAGCAAAAGCATGACCTACAGCTGGAATCTATAAGATGGAAGCAAAGTCTAAACATTTGGAAAATTCACAGCCTACCCTCCTAAAGAGTGACAAACGGTGTTCAGAAGGGATTACTGAGGGAATAGCTTTCCACTTGCGCTTGCTAGACAGACAAACTCCATAAAATGTAGCCAACTGCCAATCATCAAGACAATGGGATAAAAGCCCCCAGGCCTAAGAGAACTGAATAGTTTCAGAAAATGGGCACTCTTCAAGGGCTTGCTGCCAAGGGCCATCTCAGGACTCTGTTCTCTACATCTTGATACAGTATTCAGCTGTCCGAGTAACAGCTTAAGCAGGCCTACATATAACTCTGGCTGTGCTCCAGAGAGAGCTAACAGTAAGATTCGGTGGTATCCACATTCCCATGGTTTTCAAGTCTGCAGGCTCACAGATCCCAAGAGTTATGAGGGTGTGGCAACCTCTACCTAACTTCCCCAGAGTCTAGAGAGAAATCTCCAGGTGTGGAACTACCACAGAGATTCTCCACTATTATGCTTATTGGATATATGGGAGCAGGAGTGTGCCTTTTGAGATCCCAGAATAGTAGAGCCATAGGCACCAGCATGCAACCTGAGTATAGCCACTTGAACCAGGCCCAGCGAAGGCAAAGGCAGGGTTTCCTAAGGCCTTGGATGCCTGTCCTTTGCCACAGTGTGTACAGGAGGTAACATATATAGAGAAGGATTCTTCTGAAGCTTGAAACTTACTATTTGCCCTTCTGGATTTTGTACTTGCTTTCAATTGATAGGCCGTTCTTGAAGCCTTCTTCTATTTTGGAACAGGACTGTTTACCCTATGTCTGTCCCACTGATGCCATGTTGGAAGTAGATAATTTCTTCTGATTTCACAGGCTCACAGCTGGAAGGAGTTTGCCTTGAGTTTTAGATGAGATCCTGGACTTCTGAGTCAATGTTGGAATGAATTATGCCTTTGGAGCATAATGTATTCTGTACAAAAGAAGGATGTTAAGTTCTGGGGGTCCAGAGGCAGAATGCTGTTTTGTATATCTCCACCAAGCCAGATATGGTGGCATACTATTTTGGAGGCTGAGGAAGGAGGATCACAAGTTCAAGGGCAGCCTGGGAAACTTAGAGACCCTGTCTAAAAAATAATAAGGGCTGGGTATGTAATTAAGTACTACAGTGCTTTCCAAGCATATACTAGGTCCTAGCTTCAATTCTCAGACGAGAGAGAGGGGGGGGGGAGGGAGGGAGGGAACAAAGAAAAGGAAGAAAAAAAATTTTCAACAAAACTCATGTTCAAATTTAAACCCCATTGTAGAAACTTAATCTGACTATGGTACTTGAAGACCTTTGAGATATAATTAACATTAAATGAGGCTAATAAGGGTAGAGTTCTAATCCAATGTACTTGTGGTTTTATCAGGAGGAGGATGAACCTGAGCTAGGACATTATGTCTCCCAATATGCTACCTTATGCTGCTGCCTTGGGAATCCACAGTTTCCACCAGCAAGGACTACCTCATAAGATGCAGGTGGCCAATCTTGAATTTCTGTTCTTTAGAACTGTGAGCTGAATAAACTTTTATTCTCCATAAATTACTCAGTCTATATTCTTTAGTTATAGCAGTAGCTCTGGACCCACAAAACTCATGTCCTTCTCACAAAATACATTCATTCCATCACAATAGACCCAAAGTCTTGATCAACCAAGCCTTAACACAAAAAAGATTCATAAATCGAATAGTATATAATTTGTGCCTTGAATTAAAACAACATTCAATAAATTGTGAAATATGGCAACTTCTAAAATTTCTGTATGTATCAGATTCTGTAACTATAAACAGTAGATATTGCCAGGCACAGTGGCACACACCTGTAATCCCAGGTACTTGGGAGGCTGAAGCAGGAGGATCATAAGTTTGAGAATAGCCTCTGCAACTTAGTGAGGCCCTAAGCAACTTACCTAGACCCTGTCTCAGAATAAAGAGGGCTGGGGATGTGGTAAGGTGTCCCTGAGTTCAAGTCCACTTAAAAAAACAAAAAAAAAAAAGCAAGGTGCTAAGCAACTCAGCGAGACCCTATCTCTGAAGTGAAAATAAAAATAGGGCTGGGGATATGACTCAGTGGTCAAGTGCCCCTGAGTTCAATCCCTGGTACCAAAAAAAAAAAAAAAAAAGTAGATATTATTAGAACCTATCTCAGAGAATTTTCTAAGTAAACAGGATAAGGTACACAGAATGGCTTCAAACAATGCCTAAAACACAAGAACACTTTTCCAATAATAGTTATCACTAGTAATACACTCTAAAATCCGTACTATAAGATATAGCATTTTTAACACCATGAACCACATAGAGCAGTGGCTATAATTTACTGAAATATGATCTGGTCAGAAAAGAGCACAGACAAGACAGAAGGCTTGTGGGGCTTGGCCTCTGTACCTGGAGGTCCTGCAGCAGCTGCATCTTCCATCAGTTCTCCCTCTTCCAACTCCATATTGTTATATTCTACATCATTTTCTCCAGACCTAATAAACAAGATTCATCATTCTCACAGAGTAAAAACAATTAACATTTATAAATACATTTCAAAGAATTTTATAACAAGTGTACCAACTTTCTCCTATGAAGACATAACATTTCTAAATGCAAAAATAATAACTTCTATCAGTATCTCATGAATGAGTAATGTTAATGTTCAAACAACCATTTGAATAATAAGCTTTTTTAAAGGAAGGAAGTCTTTTTTTATAATATAACTTTATTTTTTTAAATTTACTTTTATGTGGTGCCAAGGATCATGTGCTAGGCAAGTACTCTACTACTGAGATATAACCCCAGCCCTAAAATATAAGCTTTTTAAAAATATCAAAGTAGAAGCTAGGTGTGATGGCATATGCCCGTAATCCAAGAAACAGGAGAAGTTGTGAGGCAGGAGGATCACAAGCTCAAAGCCAATCTTAGAAAATTATTAAGACCCTGTCTCAAAAAGGGCTGAGAATGCAGCTCAGTGGTAAAGTGCTCCTAGACTCAATTTCCAGTACCCACCCTCCACTGTCACCCACTAAAATCAAGGTAGGGTTGGCAACATTTAATTTTTAAATCAGAAAATCTGAGAACCACTGTAAATAGAAGAGACTATAGGTTTAAAGAACTGGTAACCTAATGATAGTAAAATTAGGAAATGTTTAAGAAATAAAAGTCCAAATTACTATACAGGACTAAAATAACTTTAAAAAAAAGGTGCTGCTTCCTACTAGTACTCATAAAGACTCTCTTATTACTAAAAAACACTATTTTTAAACTACAAAGTATTATTTGGAATAGTAGAAATCATTTTTTTTTTAATTTTTAAAAATTCATTTATTTATTTGCTGTAATTTGTTATACATGACTCAGCATTAAAAGAGAAGAAAATCATGACATTTGTAGGTAAATGGATGGAGCCGGAGAATACGATGCTAAGGGAAATAAGCCAATCACAAAAAACCAAAGGCCGAATGTTATCTCTGATAAGTGGTTGCTGATCAATGTTATTTTGTATATTTAAAGAAATCTTAAGATCATCTCCCAGCTTGATGGTTTAAGGAGCTCTGCAGACCTGCTTTTGAGAAAACTGGTGACAGTTTTTTTTAATAAAACATTTATGGGCTGGCACTGCAGGTCAGGGGTAGAAAGCTTGCTTACCATGCATGAGGTCCTAGACTCAATCTTCAGAATCACAAAAACAAAAGCAACGAAAAATATTTAAAGATTCTCAAAATGATTCTATTGAAACCGAACAAATGAAAAAACATACACTTCAAAAAATATACATTAAGCTGGGCCTGGTGAAACAGGACTATAATCCCAGTGGTTTAGGTGGCTGAGGCAGGAGGATTACAAATTCAAGGCGAGCCTCAGCAATTTAGCAAAACCTTGTCTCAAAATAAAAGTCAAAAAGGAGCTGGAGATGTAGCTCAGTGGTAGAGCACCCCTGAATTCAATTCCAATGCAAAAAAAAAGTATTAAAATTTATTAAGACAGAGTATGCATCTGTGGTACCTGAATCTTAAATCACTCCTCTTCCCCATCAAATCCATTCAGACAGAAATCCCACTTCAGATTGGAATTGTCAAGAACAAAGATCTTCCACTTCCTGCAGCTCCCAAGAGGATATATTCCCAGGAAGGGTAAGAAATCAATATTTCTCATGTTGCCTCCAGCTACATATTGCTAATGCCAAGGTCTAAGTGTATGTGGCCAAAAGGTAAGGAATTCCTTTCTACCCAGATCCATATGTAAAATAGAGGCTCTACTTGGGTATAGCATGTTGAAAATGCTGAGGCCCAAATTGCCCTTGTCACAGCTTATTCATAAAGTGAAGGTTCAAAGCTAAAAAAGCAAACTCAGAAGAGCTAAGCTTACTGCTCCACTGCCTAGTTAGCTCAGCTTTTAAAGCAGGAGAGAGAAGTACACTTTTCTCCTCACTCCAGTTCAGAGCCACAGGGGATGGGATTGTATCTCAGTGGTAGAGCACTTGCTTAGCTGGGTTCAATCCTCAGCACCACATAAAAATAAATAAATAAAATAAAGATATTTAAAAATAAAAGAGCCACGGAGAAAGATGCAACACATTAAAAATATCAACAAAATATTAGCAAATGGATCCAGCAATATAAGAGAATCATAATATACCTTATCAGTAGAATAAAAATGACCCTCTGAGTAGATCGAAAAAGCGTACATAACAAAATCCAACCCTGTTTATAATAAAACCACGCAATATTCAATAAAAACTAGTAAAAATACAAAACCTCATGAGGAACCACTGGATCACTCATACACTTCTAGAGGGAATGTAAAATAGTATAGCGATTCTAGATAACTAACATTCTCTTTAAAACAAAACATGCAATTATCATATGAACCAACAATGCATTTATCCCAGAGAAATTAAGAATTATGTTGACATAAAAACCTGTGCACAGGCTCAGCACAGTGGTGTACTCCTATAATCCCAGCTACTCAAGACGCTGGGAAGGAGGATTGCAAATTCAATATCAGTCTCAGCAACTCTGTGAGGCCCTAAGCAATTTAGGAAGACTCTGTCTCAAAATAAAAAATAAAAAAGGGCTTGGGGATGTGTTTCAGAGGCTAAACATCCTTGGGTTCAATCCCTGGTAAACAAACAAACAACACTGTGCACAGGTATTTATAACAGCTTTATTCAGAATATAGCCCAAATCTGGAAACATTCCAGATATCCTTCAATGGATTGGCTGAATAAACTGGGGAACACCTACAATACAGAATTACTACTCAGCAATAAACAGAAATGAACTATTAATATATACCATAACCGGAATTCAATCTTCAGAGAACTATTTTAAAAGAAAGAAGTCAATCCTTTAAGGCTATATGTTTACACACTGAAATAACATTCTTTAAGTGGGGGAACCTTGAAATGAGTGATTGCCAGGAGTTAAAGAGAGAGCTGAAATGGGTAGAAAAGTGGATATGACTATAAAAAAGCAACATGAAGAATTCATATGGTGAGGAAAATGTTCCATTCTGACTGTATCACAGTCAACATTCTGACTGTGGTGATGTACTATACTTATACAAGATGCTCCACTGGGGAAAATTGGATAAAGTGTAATGAGATCTCTTATTATTTCTTATAACTGCATATAAAATTATCCCAAAATAAAAAGAAGAAATTAAATGCCAGGAAAAAAATAAATAATATTATTACAGAAAAAACATGAAGGGAGAAAGTTGAGAAGGAGAAGAAAGGAAAGAAATGAATATCTTTTCCAGTTAAAAAAACTGATAATGATCACTAGTCAAACAGATGATACGCCTATTTCTTCTTTCTAAAAGGAAGAAGGGCTGGGGGTTTGGGGTAGTGGTGGAGCGCTTGTCTGGCATGTGTGAGGCATTGGGTTTGATCCTCTGCACTACATAAAAATAAATAAATAAAATAAAAGGAAGAAGAGCTGGGAATACAGCTTTCCTTCTTGCTGGTAGGGCACTTGCCTAGCATGGGTTCAATCCCTAGTACTGTGGGGGGTGAGGAATGAATGAATATGAGTCAATCTATAAGAGGAAGGAAAATTAACTTGTGCTGTTATTTCTATGAATTGTATAAAATAATTTAAATTAAGATATTACTATAGATGTGGTAAAGGCGCTCCCCCCGCCCCACTGTCTTGACAAGGTCACAGTCCAGCGTAGATGAATGTATATGGACACAACACAAACACTATTAGAAAGGTTGTGAATCAAGTTTTACATAAAACCCAGCTGCCTTTAAGAACAATCTTGAAAAAAAGCCAAGAGTCATAACAAAGTAGTAATTCAGATTAAATTATATCTGTTAGCAATCTTTTAGCAAGCTGGACTTCACATCATAGAAAGTGCTATTAAAGAATAAACTGTAAATTTTCCATGCTGATTCAAATCAATCAGTTCTAGTCATCTAAAAATCTCACATTCTCATTAGGGACTTCTCATTTGGGGACTTAAAAAGTACCCAGGCTTCACATTTTAACTAGCTAACCCCTTTTAGATAACTAAATGGTCTATTTTGAGGAACTAATTTTGTAAGAATGGAGGGGAACCCAATAGGATGTTAGAAAAGTCTCATCTGGGATTAGGTGTGATGGTGCATGTCTGTAATCCCTACAACACGGGAAGCTAAGGCAGGTGGATAGTAAATTTGAGGCCATTCTCAGCAACTTAACAGAACTTGGTCTCAAAAATAAAAAAATAAGAAGGGCTGGGCATGTAATTCAGTAGTAGAGCACCCCTGGGTTCAATCTCCAGTACCACAAAGAAGAAAACATCTCATCTGAGGCTGGAATGTAATTCAGGGGTAGAGCACTTGCCTAGCATGTGTGAAAGCTTGAGTTAGATCCCCAGCACTGCAAAAATACAAAAACAATACAAACTCAAAACCATCTCATCTGAACTCTTATTTAACAACTGATACAGGGCTGGGACAGAGAAGGTACAAGATGAATCTGGAGTGCTTTACAATAACACAAAGCTAAAAAAGTGCTTAAAAATGATGGAGGGCTGGGGCTGTAGCTCAGTGGTAGAGCACTTGCCTAGCATGCATGAGGCACTGGGTTCGATCCTCAGCACCATATAAAATAAACAAATAAAATAAAGGCATGCTGTCCATCTACAACTACAAAAAAAAAAAAAAAAAGACAGGACTAGGGCTATAGTTCAGTGGCAGGGTGCTTGCCTAGCATGCATTAGGCACTGGGTTAGAAACTCAGCACCACATAAAAATAAACAAGTAAAATAAAGGCATTCTTGGGCTGGGGATACACCTCAGTTGGTAGAGTGCTTGCCTAGCATGTAGGAGACACTGGGTTTGATCCTTAGAACCACATAAAAATAAACAAATGAAATAAAGGCATGCTGTCCATCTACAACTACAAAAAATAAAAATTAAAAAAATAATGGAGATATATTCAAAGAATACAGGACTTAGCTGTAACAGGTTACCATTAGCCAAATGTATAATAATCTGAGCAATGAAATAAATGATAGTAAGGAATTCAAACCATTTTATAACATAAGAATTGATACTAGTGAAATTAATATATCAATTAATGGGGTTGAGGAGCAAGCTCTTCCTTAAAGTAGAATTCCACTATTGAGTATAGAAGGAATAAAGGAATTAGAAAATCATCAATGGCAATTGTTATGGTTTGGATGTGAGATGTCCCTCCAAAAACTCACATGTGAGACAATGCAAGAAAGTTCAGAGAAGAACCAATTAGGTTGGGAGAGCTTTAACCAATCAGTGAATTAAAATCCCCTTATGGGGGTTAACTGAGTAATAAGTGGAAGAGGTGGGGCACTGTAGGTGTGGCTTTGGGATATATATTTTGTATCCTGCAGTGGAGTTTCTCTCTCTCTGCTTTCTGATCTTCATGTGAGCTGCTTCCCTCTGTTAACACTCTTCCGCCATGATATTCTGCCTCACCTCGACTAAGACCTCTGAAACAGTGAGCCCTCAAACAAACTTTTCCTCCTCTACAATTGTTCTGGTCAGATCTTTTAGTCACAGCATTGAAAAGCTGACTAAAACAGCAATCACAAAGTAACCTTTTTTAAGTAAGAATCATCAAGAGATATGAGAAACAGGTTATACAGTATCTCTACAAAAAGCCCCCATAAGGTATTCATTAATAACAAAAGGATAAGTAATTCTAGAAGGGAGAAACCTGGGAGACAATACCTAAATCAGATGATCAAAATTAATAACCATCAGTAATGTGACAGATTAATATCATGTGTAATTCCACTCATTGTGCACAGAAAAAGATGCATCAAGACTTCAGTAGTATTCTTGCCAAAAGTTCCCAGCTCAATCTAATCATGAGGAAACAGACTAATCCAATTGAGAGACTGTCTACAAAATACCTACTCTGAGGTGTGGAGATGTGGCTCTACTGAGTGCTGCCTAGCATTCCTGAGATTCTGGGTTATCATGCCCAGCATCAAGGGGAAAAACAAAACAACACACACACATACTCACTCTCTCTCTCTCTCTCTCTCTCTCTCTCTCTCTCTCTCTCTCTCTCTCTCTATTTCATGTCAGCCATGAAGGAAAAGCAAAACAAAACAAAACAGTAATTAAAACTTAAGCAGATAAAGAGATTTAACAACTAAATGCAAATGTAATCTGGGATAGAATCCTGGACCAGACAAAAGACATTACTGACAAAATTTTAATAGGTTACAGTACCACAGTATTAATTTCTTGAGTTTAATAACTGCACTACAGTTATATAAGAAACATTCTTAAGTACACAAGGAAAATTATATTCACTTAATCTCAAGTATCTCAGAAAAAAAGTTATATATAGAAAAAAGAAAAATTTAATAAAGCAAAATATTAACATTTGGGAATTAATCCATATGAAGGGAATATGGAAACTCTAAATAATATTTTATAAGTTTTCTTAAGTATTAAATAATTTCAAAATTAAAATTTAAAAGTTAAAATAAAACCCAAAACTCTTGGCTTAGAACCTAGAGATGAGAGGGAAGCTGTCTATTTAGTATTTCATTCAAGTTCTTTTATTTATTACACCATATCTAGAAAAATATGCTGAACATCAACACTAAGTTTTCAATATGCTTCTAAAAATCACCACTCAGATGCTTTATAAGTGGTAGGTAATGTGGGTCACTCACATAGTTTCTTCATCAATATCATTTTCTTCTGTGTTACTTGTTGCTGTGGAACTGGCAGAAGAACTGCTGCCATCAAGGTGATTTACTTCATCTTCACCAACTAGATCTAGATCCAGATCTCCATCTGAAAGCTCATTCTAGATGAAAGCAAAGCAAAGAAGAATTCTGTTGTAAATGTTTCCACCCTGTTGATCATCCAATCCAGACCATGAAGAATTATGCAGGTTTCAGAATTCTATTCTATGCCCCTGTGTTCCTATACTGCTGAGCACCACAACACTAACTGGTATCACTACCAATCTATGGTTATTAATTTTAGCTGGGTCCTCAATGGAACTGGATATGCTTCATGTATTCCATGTCAGCTTCCTAGAAAGGTTCCTCACAAAGTAATATATCAAACAATTCCTCAAGTCCAAAGTAGTCTTCATATTTCTCAAGGTCATGAAATAACCTTAATATCTGCATAGAAAAAGTAAACATAAATGTACCCAACTTTCAGTTGTCTTTACCTACAAACTGCACCTTTTTTTTTTTAAAATTCAATCTGGGTTAACGATTTCATTCTACCATTGTTACCTCCTTAGTTCATCAGTGTGCTTAACTTTAACATCGTCATTTAATTAAAAACTGAAGTTTCCCATCTCAAAATTAAAAACTTCAAAAAAAATTTTTGCTTATTTCTGTACCTTGTCTTAACTATATAAAAATAACAAATACTTCTTGAATTCTTTTTCTGGTTGTTTTTAGCTGGGACAAAATGGTTATCTCCTAACCCTTAATAATTCTACTGACATGCAATGATAAGATACCTACTAGTTTTAGCAAATGAAAACAGAACACATTAAAATCCATAATTTACATAGTTTCATTTCTGGAGTGTTCAGCAGTCTGCTTCATATAATGTATATTTTTCTGTAATAAATTAACTTTTAGACTCTTGAAATGCTCAACCACTTTCTGACTCATAAACATTAACATTTATAGAACATGTACAAAAATTAAAATTAATGGATAAAATTTTCAAGCACACTGTTTCCCTTATATTCTATGTTGGAAACCATGATTCTATCATTTCTCTTATAAGTCTAAAACTGGCCTAATTATTACATGATAATCTTCATTTTGAATCTTCTCCTCATCTTCTTCATCCTCTTTAGCCTCTCTTACAGAAGCTGTAGTAGGGCCACCTTCAAGAAGCATGTCAGAGCATGACCCAGACTTCTTGGCTCGCATCTCTGGAGTGTCATCATTTTGGGGACTGAGATGATTATCTGGTGGTGACAAATCTCTTGATTTCTGAGTTCGAGACAGCTCAATGGTAAGTCTCTTTTAAAACAAGAACAGCATTAACATTAGTTTTAAGCAGTGCCTCATGGGCATAGAAAAAAACAGTTTAAAGTTAAAAAATGGATCCAGGAGTTGGGGCTGGGACTCAGTGGTAGAATGCTTGCCTAGTATATGTCAGGCACTGGGTTCAATCTGCAGCACCAAATAAAAAATAAATAATATTAAGATATTGTGTTCATCTACAACTAAAAATAATATGTAAAAAAATTGGGTCTAGATGCAGAAAAAGCATTTGACAAAATACAACATCCAGTCATGTTCAAAACACTAGAAAAACTACGGATAGTAGGAACATACCTCAACATTGTAAAAGCTATATAAGTTAAACCCAAGGCCAACATCATTCTAAATGGAGAAAAATTTAAAGCATTCGCTCTAAAAACTGGAAAAAGGCAAGCATGCCCTCTTTCAAGCCTTCAACACAGCCCTTGAAATAGCCAGAGCAATTAGACAGAAAAAAGAAATTAAAGGGATACAAATAGGAAAACAAGACTATCAAATTACCCCTACTGCTAAGAACATGATTCTATATTTAGAAGATCGCTCAAAAAAAACTCCACCAGAAAATTTCTAGAACTCATAAATGAACTCGGCAAAGTAGCAGGATATAAAATTAACACCCATAAATCAATCAAGTTCCTATACATCAGTGATGAATCCACTGAAAAGAGAAATTAGGAAAATTATCCCATTTACAACAGCCTCAAAAACAAAATAAAATATTTCAGAATTAGTCTAACAAAAGAGGTGAGAGACCTCTACAATGAAAACTACAGAATTTTAAAGAAAGAAATTGAAGAAGACCTTAGAAGATGGAAAGATCAGATTACATGTGGGTTTTCTGGGTAACAGCTTCAAGGTCCCTGCCCAACAGGGAACATCAACTCCAGAAATACCAGTTGAATAAACCTCCGGATGCTTTCCAATGTGCTTTAGTGACTGATCAGGAGTCCCCAGACATTCTGGACCAGTGAAATGACATCCACCATTCTCCCCATATAAATGCCTGACAGGCACAAAATGGGGAAATAACAAATGATCTTTGTCATTTCAAACAACACTTTTTGGACTATTTTGTGAGAGATACTAATGTTTGCACCCTGTGACTTTTGTAAACCTTACTAAGTCTAGTAGTTTTTCATAGATTTGTAAGAATTTTGCACAGGAATTATCATGTAATTTGCCTTTTTCACAATGGTTGTTCCTTGTATTATATTATTCTTATGTGGATGGAATGCATAGAGTTTCAAAGACAATGTTGAAAATAAAAAGAAGATGGAAAGATCACCCATATTCTTAGATAGACAGAATTAATATTGTCAAATGACCATACTATCAGAAGTGCTATTTAATGCAATTCCTATTCAAATTCCGAAGATGTTCTTCATAGAAATAGAAAAGGCAGTCATAAAATTCATTTGGAAATATAAGAGGCCCAGAGAGCCAAAGTAATTCTTAGCAAGAAAAGTGAAGCAGGAGGCATCACAATACCCAACCTTAAATTATACTACAGAGCTATCGTAACAAAAACAGCACGGTATTGGCAATAAAACAGACATGAAGACCAATGGTACAGAAGAGAAGGCACAGAGATAGACCCACATAAATACAGTTATCTAATGCTAGATAAAGGCACCAAAAACATACTTTGGAGAAAAGATAGCCTCTTCAACAAATGGTGCTGGGAAACTGGAAATCCATATGTAGCCAAATGAAATTAAACCTGTATTGCTCACCCTGCACAAAACTCAACTCTAAGTGGACTTAGACAAAAGACCTTGTGCCTAGTAGAAGGAAAAGTAGGCCCAACTCTCCATAATGTTGGCTTAGGAACTTACCTCAATAAGATTCCTGAAGTACAAGAAGGAAAATCAAGAATGAATAAATGGGACAGTATCAAACTAAAAAGCTTCTTCAAGTAAAGGAAACAATCAAGAATGTGAAGAGGGATCTTATAGAATGGAAGAAAATTTTTGCCACCTGCACCTCAGATACAGCATTAATCTCTAGGATATATAAAGAACTCAAAACACTTAACACCAAATAAAACCAAATAGCCACAAAAATAAATGGGAAAAGGAACTGAACAAGGCACTTCACAGAAGAAAAAATACTATCAGTCAACAAATATATGAAAAAAATGTTCAACGTCTCTACCAATTAAGAAATGAAAATTAAGACTACACAGAGATTTCAACTCACTCCAGTCAGAATGGCAATTATAGAACTAACAATAAATGTTTGGAAGGATGTGGGGAGATAGGTACTCTTGTACATTGTTGGTGGGACTGCAAATTGGTACAACCACCATGGAAAGCAGTATGGAGATTCCGTAGAAAACTTGGAATGGAATCACCATTTGACCCAGCTATCCAACTCCTTGGTTTATACCCAAAGGACTTAAAATCAGCATACTATAGTGACACGGCCACATCAATGTTCACAGCAGCTCAATTTGCAATAGCTAAGCTATGGAACCAACCTAGGTGCCCTTCAACAGATGAATGGATAAAGAAAATGTGGTACATACACACAATGGAATATTACTCAGCCATAAAGAAGCCAATCTCCCCCCAAAAACAAAGGCCAAATGATCTCTCTGATATGCGGATGCTAATACACAACAGGGGGCAGGGAAAGAAGAATAGAAGTTCATTGCATTGGACAAAGGGGAGTGAAGGAAAGGAGGGGAGACAGGAATAGCAAAACCAGTAAAATGAATTGGACTTAACTTTCTTATGTTCATATATGAATACACAACCAGTATAACATCACATCATGTACAAGAATGGGAAGTTATAATCCATGTATGTACAATATATCAAAATATACTCTACTGTCATGTATATCTAAAAAAAGGATTTAGATATTCCTTAAACTACTTATTTTCTTTCTTTCTTTTTTTTCTTTTTTTTTTTTTTTTTGTACTGGGGATTGAACCCAGGGGCACGGGATTGAACCCAGGGGCACTTAGCCACTGAACCACATCCCTAACCCTTTTCATTATTTTTTTGAGACAGGATCTAAGTTGCTAAGGCTGGCCAGGAACTTGCAATCCTTCTGCCTCAGACTCCCAAGTCACAGGGATCACAGGTGTGTGCCCAATTTCCTAAAACTATTTCTTTTTCTTTTTTTTTTTAAGAGAGAGAATTTTTTAAATATTTATTTTTTAGTTTTCGGCGGACACAACATCTTTGTTTGTATGTGGTGCTGAGGATCGAACCCGGGCCGCACACATGCCAGGCGAGCACGCTACCGCTTAAGCCACATCCCCAGCCCTAAAAACTATTTCTTGAACTCTCTTTTATCCACTTTTGCCTCTGTTTATAGGGGAAAAAATCTATAGCAAAAATAAATACTTTATTCTCTTCCTTTCATATTTAGCCCAAGCTACATAAATAATTACAGTGAATAATTATAGTGAATACAGGCAGGTTTTTATTTTTTCTTTTTCTCAGAGCTAAGGATTGAACCCAAGGCCTTGCACATACTAAGCAAGTACTCTGCCACTACACTACATACCCAGCCCCAATAGTTTAAAATAACACACTTAACATGAAAATCTCCAGATGTATATATTGTTTATATTTTCTCTCTTGTCTATTAACAATACCCCAAATTTCCAGTAAGGAAAAAAAATTCCTCATGCAATTTTGTCATTTTAAAGTAAAAATCCATTAATGGATCTTCCCTAAGCCTCATTCAACCATAAAGAGAGTCTGACACAAAGCAACTTTCAATTCAACTTTTGAATCCTTTAAATCCAAGACAAACTGTGGAGGAGAATTACCTTAGTCACTCAGAGAAACACAGACAATTTACCTCAAACTAGAGCAACACTATGCAATACAATTTTAAGCAATAACAGAAATGATCTACATCTGCAATCCCTAACACAAGCATTTGAAACGTGGCCACTGAAACTAAGTTACTATGTCTTTAATTTTAATGAAATTAAACCAATATAGCCAAACCATAGCTTAGTGGCTACCAAACTGGGAAAATGCAGAACCCTAGAGGCTCAAAAGATGGGAAACAGGATAACTGGATTTTTTTCTACAAAATTATAAAAAGCATTAAATATTTAATATATAATTTCCAAATATAACAGGCAAAATGGACAGTATGAAACACTAAACCAGAAGTAGATGTTATTTCCTTACCTCTTTAAGATTATTTATTTGTTGGATATAACTAGTCTGCGCAGCTTCCAACTGAGTGATATACCAATGCTGATCCCGACATTTTTGAAAAAAAGTTGGCGAACGGACCTGAAACCTTAAAAGAATTGTTCCACATGAAAAATAACTCAAACAATAAAATATTAACAGTCTAGCCTTGAATCTGTAACTATAAATTCCACAATTTTATGATTTGAGACAGGGTCTTATTAAGTAGCTGGGGGTGACTTCTAATTTGCAATTATCTTGCCTCAGTCTTCAAAGTCATTGGGATTATGGAAGTGTGCCACCATACCCAGGTTCAATAAGAGAAATAATTTGTTGCTATTTCATGCTTCAGCTATGAACGTGGGAAGTTATTCAAACATCAGTTTATTAACCTACTAAAGAGCCATGTCTTTGTTCTTGCCTTATTTTAATGATAGTGATGTTGATTATGATCCTTAGCACCACATAAAAAATGAATAAAAATATTATTTTTCTTTGTGAATAACTAAAAGAATAAAATAAAACCCAGAAATATTATGAAGCAGAATTCAAATAATGTCCCCAAAAGAAAATACAAAAAATATCATTAACGTTTTTTTCCTACACCAAAAATCATATCCCTTTTGTTCACATCTTTATTCTCCCAGATAAACAAGGAAGAAGACATAAATGTAAAGGTTGATAAAATGGCAACTCAGTTATCCAGCATGCTAAGGACAAAAAGAATTCAGAATAATTGAAATTAGGTAAAAAATTTTGTTTTGATGAAAATTTTCTAAACCATTAAACACTTTGAAACTTCTCAGTTCAGACCATCTGAATCTCCTCTTTTAAACATTTTGAGTTCTCATCCAGGCTTGGTGGTGGTACATGACTGTAATCCCAGATACTCAGGCAGAAGGCTCTCAAGTTTGAGCCTAGCATCAGAAACTTAGTAAGACCCTGTCTCAAAAGAATTAAAAATAAAAGGGCCAGGGGTGTAGCTCAGTAGTAGAGAGCCCTTGGGTTAGCAAAATCCTGTTTCAAACGAAAAAAAAGGCTGGCGATGTAGCTCAGTAGTAGAATGCCCCTGGATTCAAGCCTGAGTACCAGGAAAAAAAATAATTTAAAAAAGCTACCCCAACATTCAGTGGGGCTGTTTTTTTTTTTACAGTGATTGCATAGTCTGTTCCTTCTGGTGAAAAACATATGAACAAGCATTACACGCTGGCTTTATCTCTATTCCACTTTTTTCTTTCAGTGTTGGGGATTGAACTCAGAGCCTTGCACATGTGGATGCAAGAGTTCTACCATGGAGTTTCCCCAGACCCCCTCTAGTCTCCTATTTTGAATTTGCTGTTTTCTAGAAAGTTGGTTTGTAAAAGCAGTCACCAAATACAATGTATCCTGTCAAGTGAAAAAAAGTTAGGCATTTGATACCTCACTGTTCTCAGATTATACCTTCCACATGGTCTGGAAGAAATTTATACAAATTTTTACTGTGGCTGCATTTTGACTTGTGACTCTTCACATGACATCAGGTAGTGGAATTTTCCACTCTTGGCATCAAGTTGGCACTCAAAAAGATTTGGATTTTCGGGCTAAGATTGGGGCTTAATAGTAGAGTGCTTGCCTAGCACTCTGGGTTCGATCCTCAGCAACACATATAAATTAAAATAAAGGTATTGTGTCCATCTACAACTAAAAATATTTTTTAAAAAAGATTTGGATTTTAGAGTATTCCAGGTTTTTAGATTAGGGATCCTCAATCTGTGATAGTTTCCTTTAACTTGGACTTAATAACTAGATGTTGAACAAACTTCTGATATTTACTATACACTTAAATACTTTGGATTTGAAATAAAATAGTTAAGAAACTAGTAAAGTTAGTATAGATTTTAGTACTCTTCTTCATTAAATGAATGGACTTTAAAATTTTGACATTATTTCATCCATAATAAAAGTCACAATATCAAATATTTCCTTTTACCTTAAAATTACTGTATCATTTTGTCGATTCAAGTATCCTTCATTTGCAAGTAAGTCCAAACGGAAAAATCTATTATAGCCCCAGCATTCTCCAACTTCAAAGTCAGATGCAAATTCTCGAATGATATTTTTAGTAGGATCATTGCAGGACTGGTGAACCATCTCCACACGATATTCATATCTAAAATTGAAAAACAGACTATTAATATAGAGTGAGCAAAGTAAAAAACAAGTAAGGACAGTAATCATTTGAGAAGAAATTTCACAACATATATACGTGTGTGTATATGTGTATACACATATACACACACATACATACATACATACACACAGTTAAACTTCTTTCACAAAGGATTATACAAGTTTACAAAAAGAGCAATATACTGAATGGGCCACCAAAACATGACTGGCATAAGGGTCCTATTTTCCTCATAAAAATGTTTACCAAGGGGGCTGGGACACTGTTCGGAGATAGAGCATTTGCCTAGCATGCATGAGGCCCTGGGTTCAATCCCTAGTAGTGAAAAAAAAAAAAAAAAAAAAAAGTTTACCAATATATTAGGAATGAAACAGCACCTAAAATAATAAATTTCATATAAACAAATACTTCAAAGTGGATTTTACCAATGCTGTGAATTTTTTCCTTTGTTACTTGTATTTCCATACATATATTCTATTTCTATTATCCTTTGAGAATTATCACCATGAGATTTTAAAATATTAATTTAAGAATACTTCACTACACTTTTCCAATATAAGTTATAATAAAACAACTTATGAATTCAAAAATTTAAACCTATAAAAATTTCTAATGGAAATTAAGTATACATTGGGAAAGTTATTCAAAATAATTAACTGTCAATTTCATCTAAAAAAACAATTTTTTATATCTACTTTTAAAATGAGCACAGTGAAAACTGGAAACTCAAAAACAATCAAGAATATTGAAAATGTGGGAGAAAGGATATTAATGAAAATGATCAAATATGTCTAGATTCAAGTTCAGATAAAAGCTTAAAATTGATATAAAACGATTTCTGAAAACTCATATGCTTTGTATGAAAAGGCATACAGTGTTTAGGCAAAACAGTTTTTTCATTAGTTCGTTTAAGTCATGAGAGAGAAAGACTGAACATTTCTCACATGGCAATTAATCCAAGTAAAATTATGTACATAGCATCTCAACTCTAACATTAGATAAAACTAAACCTTATATATGAATGTCACAACCCAAATTCTTTCCTTCTATCAAACTATTTCCTTAAACAACTCGAAATTTCCCCTTTCCGAAAGAAGTCATTCTTCACTCTTAAAAATCAAACCCAGGATGTCACTTACATGCAAATTTCCCCTGAAATCCTACATATATGTATGCTAACCCTAACCCTTTATAAACATATTTAAGTATAATTAAATTATGCAAGCAATTCTGCAGAGTTCTCATATTAAAAAATCGACTGGACTATTATACATGATTTCAGCTACCCTACTGTTAAACCCTGAATTCCATAATTAAATGGCATTTCTAGGAAGGTATTTAGATAATATCTAATAAATGCACAAATTCCAATCTTTTTAAAACATAGAATCTTCAATATTATTATCAACAATAGTAAGATTACTACCATTTGTAAGACAATGTGAACTTTAAATTCCTAAAGTAGGGTTGGAAATCTTATTTAAATGGGAGAGTCCCTAGGTTGAATCTATCAGCATCAAACTAAACAACTTTAGCATTTAAATTATGGTCAACTTTGAGTTAATCATTATATACAGGATGAGTGGCTCCAAGTTCATTGTGTGTGTAGGGGGTGTGTGTACAGGGGTTCTGAAATATTTAAACATTATTATCCTTTCGCCATGGAATTGCCTTTGTATATTTCCAAAAAATCAGTTGGCTCTATGTGTGAATTTATTCCAAGACACTATTATATTCCACTGATCATTTTGCCTATCCTCATGCTAATACCATAATGTTCTGATTACTGTACTTTATTACAATTCTTTTTTTTAAAGAGAGAGAATTTTAATATTTTTTTAGTTTTCGGCGGACACAACATCTTTGTTTATATGTGGTGCTGAGGATCGAACCTGGGCCGCACACATGCCAGGCGAGCATGCTACCGCTTGAGGAACATCCCCAGCCCTTATTACAATTCTTAAAACTATGTAGCATTAGCTTTCAAATTGCTTTCAGTGATTCTCCATTGCTTTTTTTATTTCACTGGATTCTGCTTTGATCTTTTTTCTTTTTTTTCTCCTTACATTGCATTTTTCTTTTTTCTAATCTACAACGCAGAAGTAGAGGTTATTGATTTGAGACCTTTCTGATTTTTATTTATAGACATTTAGCACTATAAATGTCTATCCACCTACTATTTTAGCAACATACTACAAATTCTGGTATAATGTGTTTTCATTTTCATTCAGTCAGAAACACTTCTTTTTTACTGGTGCATTATAGTTGTACAATATAATAATATAATTTTGCCCAAAACCTTCCCCAGCACTTCCCCGCTCCTCCCACTCACTGGTCCCTTTCCTCTAGTCTCCTGCTCTCCCTCTGCTTTACAAGCTATCGTCTCCTACTTTTCTTTTCCTTTTTCCTCTGGGAAATATAATACTCTTGACCTTCTGATTCAATCAGAAACACTTTTAAAAAATCTTGTGGTTTCCTTTTTGATCCAGAAGTTATGGAGAAGTATGTTATTTAGCTTTCAAATATTTTGATATTTTCAAAATATCTGTTTAGTACCTAAATTCCATTTTGGTGAGAAAACAAACTTTATTTTTTTTTTTAATTTTTTATTGTTGGCTGTTCAAAACATTACATAGTTCTTGATATATCATATTTCACAATTTGATTCAAGTGGGTTATGAGCTCCCATTTTTACCCCATATACAGATTGCAGAATCACATCAGTTACACATCCATTTATTTACATATTGCCATACTAGTGTCTGTTGAGGGAGAAAACAAACTTTAAATCATTCTGAGTTCATTCAGACATGTTTCATGATCCTGAATATGTAATATCTTGGTAAATACATGCTCTTAAAAATAATCTGGCTAGGTCCAGTGGGTGTATGCCCATAATTCCAGAAACCCAGGAAGTTCAGGCAGGAGGATAGCAAGTTTGAGGCCAATCTCAACAACTTAGTGAGACCCTGTCTCAAAATAAAAAATAAACAGGTCTAGGCACGTAGCTCAGTGGTAGAGCATGCGTGGGGTTCAATACCCAATACCCAAAGAAAGAGCCTTTAAGAAGGTTTTAAATGATATGCCATTTATACGGGGTGTGTGGTACTGGAAATCAAGCCCAGGGGCTTGCTCATAATAGTCAAGCCCTCTACCTATGAACTAAATATATCTCCAACCCTCTTTATATTTAAAATGAATTTCTGGTGGACAGCACATACTTCAATCTTGCATTTTTTAGCCAAGCTATCTCCATCTTCACAAAATGAATGGTCTTTTTCTTCATTCCATTTCATGGAGAAAATAATTTGAAGGGCCACAGGGAGTTACTTGCTTCTTTGAAATGTTTTTCAATAGTATATCTCTCATGAATCAGATTCTCCATGCAGATGATGCCATATTTACAAAAGATTTATCTGTCAAGTTAATTCACTTCTTAATTTTGCCATCATCACACTTATAATTCATTTACCAACTTCAGGTTCAATTACTCCCATACAATATATGGGTGTGCCCAATCCTCAGCATGTTAATTAAACCACTGTTGAGCTTAAGAAAGATGCCATTAAAGATCCAGTAAACGCAAAGAAAGTACAATATCTTATGGACCTTTTGGGTACACCCCATAGATAACTCTGATCTGGATGACAAATGCTATTATGGGTCTTCAGGTAATAGAAATTGCCAGCTTTTCCTGCCATCCTAGCCATTGAAATCTGAGTTCTGTATGTCTGTCTGTATTCCTCATGACAGTGCTTAGCTTCTTCATAGATAAGCTTCCTCCTTGCCTTTCAAAGCATATTTCGGGCAAACTTTTTCTCAGATGATTTTTACCTACAGTTCTGCCAAATACCTTCACTTTTCTTAGGGGTTTCTGGCAGAGCAGGAATCTTCTTTTTGGTGGGGTTCTCTTTTTTTTTCCCTCCATCATTTTTGGAACTGGAGATCAAACCCAGGGCTTTGAGAATGCAAGGCAAACACTTTGCCACTGAGCTACATCCCAGCCCAGGAATCTTCTTTTTGATACCTTCCAAGTTTCCAGACAAAAAAAGAGCCAATCTCCATCTTTTAAGTGAGCTAATGTAAATTTAATCTATTTGTTTTATAATCCCATTTTATATTCTTTCTTGCCATGTTAGCTGTATATCTGTTACTTTATAGTTCTCTGTTGTGGTAGGACAATAATCTCTCTCTTCCCCCATAAAATATCCACATCCTAATCTCCAAAACCTATGAATATTATCTTCTATGGCAAATAAGAGCGAATGTCACTGTATAAAGCTAAGAATTATGAGACTGAGGAAATTATCCTGAATTACACAGATGGAGCCTAAGTGTAATAAATGTCCTTATAGGAGGAAAGCAGAGGAAAATCTGACATGAGACCAGAAAGACAAGGCAATATAACCATAGAAACACATATTGGAGTGGTAAGGCAACAAGCCAAGGAATGCTGGCAGTCACCAGATGGTGGAAAAGGCAGGGAATGAGTTCTCCCCTTGAGTCTCTGGAACAAGCACAATGGTACTAAAAGGTTGATTTTGGTTCAGCAATAAATTGCAGACTTCTGAATTCCAGGACAGTGAGAGAATAAATTTTTATTGTTTTACACCACCAAATTTGTGGCTTTTTTTTAAGTACATAAAGGAAATTAATACAAAGGTACATAATCTTTAACTTATTAGAGATTAGCTTTCAATTGCACCGGTTACAGAATAACATCAGACTCTTAATTTGTATGTCTATGTACTCAGTTTTTAACCTTTACTTGATTGCCATCATGCATTTATTTCAATAAATTTACTTTCCCAAAGCGTTAATTCTCTTTCAATGTTACTTTAATTTTTAAAAAATGTTTAAATCTACTCTCATATTTTCCATTTCTGGTACTCTTCTCTTTCTTCCTCCCCTCTCTTTTAGATTCAAATTTAGATAGCCAAGTGTCATTTTCCCCCTTCTACCTGAAGCATTTCTTATAGTCT